GGATCCCTCTCCCATACGCAGCGTCCATGGCAATTTGAATGCTCTGCCGACGGCTACATCCACGCCCGGACGCAATCTCTTTGGTTTTCGGAGTAGCAGCAAGCAAAGCACCGAGGTAGAGCTGGCTGCCCAGACTTCCAGCTTGCCGGCAGGCACTCCGGCCCGCACTTTCGCCCAGATCAGCGGCAGGCGCAGCATACGACCCATCGATTCGCTGACGCCCTCGAAAATGGGCACCTACAGGTGCGGCAACAGCGACCTGGACACCTCCAACTGCACAAACGCAAGCATGAATGCTACAGTCGGATCGGAGATCCCCAACAGCTCTTCATTTTCGTTTTCATTCTTCGGCCGTGGCCGCAAACGTGACCGCACTCCCCCACCATTGTCGGCCTCTCAGTCGACCAGCGACCTGGCCCACGATGTGGATATGTCGCCGCCAAAGCGCGCCCGCTTCGACTTGTTCAGCCTGAATTTGGCTTCTCCCTTCAGCATGCTGCGCTCGAGATTCTCCAAGGCATCGATCAGTTCTCCGAGCCGCCTGCGTTTCGAGCCGAACAGTTCCGGCGTGGAGGAGCAACATCTACACACATCTTCGGCTGGCATGCCAGACGAGGTTGAAGTCGAGGAGGAACAACCAGCCGAGGACGTAACCGTTGGCCAGGAGGCCGGTGCGGAGACACCGAAGAAGGGCGGCTCACCCATTAAGGAAATCCCCACAGAGAAGGATGTCAAGGATAAGAACGTCGATGGCCAGAATGTCGACGAGACATCTCCATCCAGCGATGGGGAAAACATTGCCCCTGTTGTAGAGGTTGCTGCTGAGGCGGCCGGAGCCGAGGGCCGATCCTTCTGCTCAATTATGTAATACAACAAATAAGACGAGAACCCCCTCCCTTAGTTCATAAGCTTATGTCTTAGCATATCCGTTTCGCCCTCTTTGGTAATTTGTGTTCTGACGTAAAGTTACATGTTAAGAGAGAAAAAGATCTGCCTCTGCGAAACTTTGATAGCCAGGCCTGGTCTGGTAATTTTTCGTTCGGAAAATCTTGACCAGATCGCCGTCGGCCAGCAATCTGGCAAAGATTTCTTGCTGGTTGGCTCCTAGCAAACTCCCGGGTCGGAGTCAACCACCGACGAATCTGATGATCTGTACGTACCCAGGCAAAGTGGGTACCAACCGAAGAAAACCCATATTTGTAGTAATCTATGTAAGAAGTTTTATATGAAACACATATTCGTGAGAGTCTGTCATATCCCTTTCGCTGATAGAATATTTTGTTTTAAATATTAAAAAAAAATGGATACAAAAAGCTTATTGATTTGTAAAAATGTAACACATTTCATAAATAAAGTACATTAAAAAAATATACATTTTTACAGTATGCTTCTGGCAGTCAATTCACTGATTTGTTATTTCTCAGATTATCAAGTAGCCGATTTCTACTGAAAAATACTTTGTATGCTTTCTTTAAATGTTGAAAAACCCAGCTATTTAGAAGTCGTATTTACAATTATTTGACGTTAGCTTCCAGAAAATTATTTTTTGACGACTGCAACCATTCACAATAATAACAAGATATAATGTTATAGTCGAGTTCCCCGACTATAAGATAGCCGTTACTCAGCTAGTAGAAATGCGAACGAGAGTGTCCACATTTGTCCACATCCTGATCAAGAATATATGTATATCGGTAACGCTTCCTTCTGCCTGTTACATACTTTTCAACGAATCTAGTATACCTTCTTACTCTACGAGTAACGGGTATAAAAAGCATTTAAGTGGCGAGGATCCAAAGAAAATTCATTCTGCAACATTACGATTTCACCGGTTATCGATTCAACGCTTGATAACATTCGATATTCTGTGACAACGCTGCCAAATGGATTTTTAGTTAGAGAAGGGGGTAAAAAAAAAAACGTAATTTCTTAAAAAATATTATATAATAATAATAAAAATAATATATATAATGTTAGCTTTGGCATTCTTCGAATAAGCAAATCAATGAAGCTTTACGCTTTTTATATCTGCTAACAAGTTGGATATCTTAGGATATTTATTCAAATATATAATAATAATATATAAGGAGATATCAAGAGTTGCTCTAGCCAAAGTTATGGAATTTCGAATCTGAAAAATTTCGAATTGTGAAATAAAATGTATTATAATGTAAGCCAGTATGCATTGTAATTGAGCATTAAGTTAGCTTTAAATAAATAAATAATAGAAAATTAACTTTTAAATGTAATATTTTTGTTCTTGGTTGGCGGCTCCAATAAACAGCTGGAAAGTTATCGATATCCTCAGGGCATATATTAATATCGAATCGGTATTCGATAGTGCTGCAATACAGCAAAAAAAAAAGAGAGATTTCTCGGATTAGATGAGATACCAACGAAAAAATTATTAGTCAAGTGCCCCCGCAGAGAAGCAGAGCCACCAAATAGCCCGCAGAGCAGTTCAGTCCACTCGGGTCCACCACAAGCCAGTCGAGAGCCAGCGGAGTAGCAAGGGAATCCGTGGATCAAGAAGGAGGAGGAGGAGAGCCAGAAGCCACGAAGTGGGAAGTAGAAACCAGATAGGAAACATGTCCTGGACGGAGAAAGTCGATCCCGAGCTCATCTTCACCAAGCAGGAGCGCATCGGCAAGGGCTCCTTCGGCGAGGTGTTCAAGGGCATCGACAACCGCACCCAGCAAGTGGTGGCCATCAAGATCATTGATCTAGAGGAGGCCGAAGATGAGATCGACGACATCCAGCAGGAGATTATGGTGCTGTCGCAGTGCGACTCGCCGTATGTGACCAAGTACTATGGCAGCTTCCTTAAGGGCACCAAGCTGTGGATCATCATGGAGTATCTGGGCGGTGGATCCGCCTTGGACCTCATGAAGGCCGGCTCCTTTGAGGAAATGCACATCGGGATCATATTGCGCGAGGTGCTCAAGGGCCTGGACTACCTGCACTCGGAGCGCAAGCTTCATCGCGACATCAAGGCGGCCAATGTGCTGTTGAGCGAACAGGGCGATGTCAAGCTGGCGGACTTTGGAGTCGCTGGCCAGCTGACGAACACCACATCCAAAAGGAACACCTTCGTGGGCACGCCCTTTTGGATGGCGCCCGAGGTGATCAAGCAGTCGCAGTACGATGCCAAGGCGGACATCTGGTCGTTGGGCATCACGGCTATCGAACTGGCCAAGGGCGAACCTCCCAATTCGGAGCTGCACCCGATGCGCGTGCTTTTCCTCATCCCCAAGAACAATCCGCCCCAGCTGACGGGCAACTATACCAAGTCTTTTAAGGACTTTGTAGAGGCCTGCCTAAACAAGGACCCGGAGAACAGGCCCACGGCCAAGGAGCTGCTCAAGTACCCATTCATCAAGAAAGCCAAGAAGAACGCCTACCTGATTGACCTAATCGACCGCTTCAAGAAGTGGAAGCTCTCCAAGGGCGATGAAAGTGAGACGGAGTCGGAGAACTCAGACTCGGATTCGGACGCCAAGCAGGGCGGCAGCAGCCAGGACGAGCCCTGGATCATGACCGTCAAGGGACTGCACATCAACAGTGCTCCGCGGGCGGGTGTCAACAGCTTCCAGTTGCAGGAGCACGAGCTGACCATGCAGAAGCTGATGCAGACCACACACTCGCCAGCCGGCGGCGGTGGTGGACAAGCCTCCCCTGCTACATCTGCATTATCGTCCTCTGTGTCCGCCGTGGCGGCGTCAGCTTCCTCCGTGTCCGTCAACGCAGCCAACGAAGGTGTCTCCCCTGCATCCGCCCTGCCCCCCCAGAACAGCCACGTCCACAACCACAACAACATTAACAACAATAACATTAGCAACTTGAGCAACAAGCATGCCACCACCACCATGCTGAATGCAGCTCCTCCCCCGAGCAGCGTCACAAGCTCTTCGTCGGCCAGTGAGCTGCAGCAGAAGCGTTCCAGCTCGAAGCCGGAGCTGCGCCAGTCGCGATCCGCCGCCCCTCTCGATCAAGTGGAGGATCGCCGTGCCTCTTTGGGCCTGCCATTGCAGTCTTCGGTTCCGACTCCATCGCCGGCTGAGCAGCAGCAACAGCGCCGCAGCAGCCAACGAGAATCATTCCATGCAACTAACGCCGCGCTGGCTGCCAGCAGCAGCAGCAGTAGTAACAACCACAGCCACGAGGAGCATGTGGCCACCAACCATGCCAGCCATGTCAAGCACTCTGGGGCGGGACAGCGCCTAGTCCAGACGAACAGCGCCTGTCTGAACAACTTCCTCTTCCCCGTGCTAAGCGATATCCAGCGAAAGTACTCCGGCGGAGGATCCGCAGGCGGCGGAGGATCAGGCGGCCGCAACTTAGGTGTCGGCAGCGACATCGGCGACCTGAAGTCTGTGTTCGAGCTGGCCGAACGCTCCAGTCCGGGAGTAAGCGACCTCTTTATGAAGGAGTTGATCCACATGCTCGTTCCTGGTTACTCGGAGACGCGAATCAATACGATCATGGACCGCGCCATACGCAACCGCAAGTAGCTGGCCAAGCCGTAGCCAATTCCGATTCCAAGCAGCCTATTTTAATATATACACAACTTTATTAACGGAGACCGAGACAACACAAACTGAAACGCTGGAGCAGACATATTCCGACATTTAGTGGCCAACAGAGGAGCGGGAGCGATGTACATGTATTTCAATTGAACAGTTATTTAAGCATACAATATGTATTCGTTTGTTTATCTGCAATATTAATCTAATGTAAAACATATATAACTTCAAAATAAAAACCCCACAAAAATAAAGAAATAGAATTTGGCGCGCTTATACGGACTTGGCAGCATTGGTGGTTTCGAGTAGTTATTTGATCTGGCATCGCTGGACAAACTGACCGTATATTCGAGCAGTAAATACTTATTGAATCAAACGAAAATCGTAAAATATTTTCAGAAAGCACTGGGCGAGGAAAATCAAAACCTTTTTCAAACACAGAATAATAAATAATACGAGGAACACAATTTTTTTATATAAAAGGGGAACATGTTTTAGTTTGGTATATTTTGGCGCTCTGGAAACGGTAACACGAGTGGCAACGCCATTTTGATTGCTCGTCTTATTTTTGGGTTTTAGAATTTTTTATTACTTTTCATAAATTTTATTCTGAGAACTTATAACGACACAGCCATGGCGCAGGCGTTGGTGGATGAGGAAACGCTGGAGGCATTGGTCTTCGAGCGCTCGAAGGCCTGGTCAAGCAAAATGAAGGTGAGTCCGTATAAACCTAAGTGGCGTCCCTTCTTGATGGACGCTATTATTTTTGTAGGAATTTACCAGCTTGGAAGACGGCATGGAGATGAATGTGTCGGAGTTCGACAACTTATTCCACGGCGAGGACCAGAACCCTGATCTGGAGGACGTGGCGCTGGAGGCTTTGGAAGACAATGTGCCCAAAGAAGCAAAGCTTGAAATGGGCCATATCAACGCCACCAGCGTTGCGGAACTGACACTGGTGCTGTGCGCCAATGAGAACGAAGAGTCAAAGACCGAGATCGAAGAAATACTTAACGAAACGGTCCCGGTCGTCGAGGAGCACAAGCGCAAGTGGCGGGAGGCGGGACTGGATCGCATCCTGGACACTTTTGATGAAAAGCAGATCGAACATCATGTGGGCCGCTGGATGCGAAGGCACAACGGCGTCTACCTGGAGGCCTCTCCACCGAAGTACCACCATGCGCACCACAACTCAATCTCAGACGAGAGCGACGAATCGATGCACTCCATCGACACGGCTCGCTACATTCAGCAGAGCCGCCGGCGCAATGTGCACACGAACAATAAGACTTCCCACATGAGCACCATTAAGATGTACCGTAAACACTCTCACAAGCGGGACGAGCTGCGGGCAAAGTACGCCTACGATGACGAGCAGGAGCATCGTCACCACATGCAGGCGGTGTTGCTTCGCCGACGTGAGAGGGAGCGCCAACTGGCTTACCTGGCTTCTAGGCCGATGGAATGCGTCTACTCCAGGGGTCATTACATGAGACGCAAATATTTGCGTAAGCGGCGCATAAACTCCTGGATGTTTGACTCCGCATCCAGCAGCGAGGACGATACATCATTCGGCGGCGGTGACTGTTTATCCTGCCGGAGGCATTACTCTCAGTCTAGAAGTGTCTACAAGTCCTCCCCTTACGGCAAGTATCGCCACCCCCAGGTGGCATCTAGAACCATGCGCACTGTGCACCGCCATCACACCTTTGACATGGAGCTGGACTTGCGACCAAGGCTGCCGGAGAACGAGTGCAGTTGCTGCAATAGTAACCGCCTATGCTCTAATGTGATCCACATTGCCAATAGCTCCACCGAAGAGTGGGTGGTAGAGAACAGAGGAGGTCATTTGACCCAGGAGACGCAGGATATGCCCAGGAAGCAAGAGCACCAACCGATGGATGCCAAGAAAATTAGCCATCGCTCCAAAGAACACGAACAAACCCCTCATAGTTCGAAGGCTACCTCTGCTTCCAAAATGGCCTTATCTACAAAAAACTACATGCAAATGTTTCCTAATGAAACTTCCGATGAAGATAACGCCGTGACGAAAAAAGTTCTAACTCCAAAGACCTCTGGTAAGATTACCCACCCTACTTCCACGGCGAAGAAGGTATTAAGAAAAGAAGCGCGTCCGACTAGTTTGCCACAGATTCAAAAAGAAAACCCGTCTGCAACATTGGGGGCACCAGCCACAAACGCTCCAGTTGAGGCCACTTTTGACGAAGTATGTGGTGTATCTACACCATTAGAAGCTTTAGTAAAGAGTGCTAATAGAGAAATTGGCTTGGCTTCCTCACCACTCAAAGAAAATGAATTACAGCCAGTGTACGGCACTAAAGCTGACGAAGAGGCATTGCCTCTCCGAAGTATTAAAAAACTACGGGTGTCTGTCAAAAAAATTGAGATTCCAAAGAGTATTCCTAACAAAGAAATCCTGGAAAAAGACAGCACTCAACCCGTGTCTGATAAACGAGGGAGAGGAAGGCCGCGGAAAGATAAGAAGAAACAAACTCCGAGAGTAAAAAGGCCAGAAAGAAAGGAAACAACTTCTTATCTTCCAAAGTTAGAGCAAGTGAGGGAAGAGGAGTCCGATTTATCATCAGATTTAAAGACAAGAAGTTCAACTACGACAAGCATTTTGGGGCTTAATGATAATGAGACATCAAACTCGGACGAGGATTTCCAACAAGCACTGGCTTTGTCAAAGGCCTCCTTTAAGGAGGAGATACTGAAACGCAGGAAGGAAAATACAAAGACCTCTAATAACCAGTCCCAATCAACTGCAGAGGAATCAATGCCGATATTCAACAATCAAAGCGTAGTGTGCAACTCCACGGCTATGGCCAACGACACGGCTTGCCGCCGCCTGCTTCGCAACAGACGAGGTGTCAAAAGGGCAGCCGCTGTCAGCTCTACGGAGGAGAACGCAGCGACGAGCAGCTTAAGTTCCTCAACAAGCAGTTTGGGAGAGATGAACTGCCCCACGCTTGGGGATCCTGACTGCACTGTAGTTACGTCTACGACATGCGAGTCGCCGGCAAGTGAGCCGGTGCCGTTTCCAGCGACCATCAGGATCACCGAGCGGGGCATCCTGCTGCACAGACCTTCGGCATCGGGAGGTGCCAACTTCACACTGACCGAGCAGGGACTCGGAAAGATTATTGGAGAACGTTGGGCACGCAAGTACCTGAAATACCACATCGGCAGTCGTAGCTTTGACAGCCGACACTCGGTTTACTATAAGCCGACTCCACAGCTGGCCGCTGTTCTCCGTTCTCCGCAGGATGCGCAGAACCTCGGAAACTCCAGTGCAAGCGATGATGACATCTTCGAGCAAGTAAATCGATATGGAACGGTGTACAGCATACTCGAGAATAATTCCGGTGACAACTGATGATTAAGTTAAGCCGAGCAAGTTAATGTTTTCTGTTCCTGTTCACTATTTTTATTATATTTGAATTTAATTTTTTTCGTTGTGCTGACGGATTTCTTGGTGGTTTATACACATCCTTCCAATAGTAATATAAGAAAAGCTGTTTCAGTTAATTTTTGTGTTTTGATTTATTTCACGTAAATTACATGATCGATAGTGATAATAGAAAACATAATACGTCATAATCATTATAATCATCATAAATTTTCGCTTAAGTATTAAATAATTGTTCAAGAGATTTATTCGCATTGCAATAGTAATTCTTGTGTGTCGAAGTTGTGTTTAAGTTTGTTTCCATGAAGTTTATCAAAATTCATATCGGCTATTGTTAATTTTATGTATTCACAAGAAAACAAGTAAAACGTAAGATCAATTTATAGAGTGAAAATGGCGCGTCGAAAAACAGGAGCTTCTTCCTTTCATGTATGTACAAATAACAAAAACTTACCTAAAATATGATGATAAATCAAGAAATTAAAATTAAACAAAGAGCGTTATGATGAAAACAAGAAACACACGACTTTTGACCCTGGAACATGCGCGCCCACACACATACACATGCGAAGCATATATCTACACGTACACATATGCCTGGCCGGCTATATAGCGCCCTACACATCGATCTGGAATGGGGAGCCGGGTATATGCTCCTCGCCCCACTTGATTAGGAGCACGTACTGGCCGCGGTCGCGCACCAGGTACTGCACATTATAGTTGTTGTGGCCAGCGTGCTTCACGTGGAACTCCTCGCAGGGTCCCTTTGGTCCGTACATGCCCACGTACAGGATGTTGTTGCCTGAAAATACAATCGGGATGGATTAACATCAAGGATTATGCTGGTGAAAAACACTACTCACCCGCATCGGTGGCGCTGATGCTGAACTGGTTCTGCTTGCCAATGTAGGCCTTCTTCAGGCCCATACCCTTGGACACCACTTTGCTGGCGTCAGACTTGAAGGTGGGCAGATGGACGCCCGTGTTCTTGCCACCCTTGGCCACCTTCTGCACTGTCTCCACGATCACCGTGGACGTCTCCTGGGCGCCCTCATCCGCCAGCTTGTCGCCGGTAGCGTTGACCTTGAATGGCGATCCCACGATGTGCATGTTGTTGTACTTGACCGTGATGTAGTGCTCGCCGGGCAGCAGAGGGGTGTAGCGGACCTTGTAGCCCTCTTCCACCTCCGTGCAGTCCATGGCCACCTTGGAGGGTCCATCGATGGAGACGGCCAAAGTGCCAACGCCGGCGTTGCAGGTATTGATGATGAAGTCGGCCTTGTGTCCAGTCTTCACTTCGTCCAAGCCATTGCCGCTGGCGTGCACAGCAGCTGGATCGGCCACATCCTTGCCAACCTTGATCCTGAATGGAGAGTCGGGTATGTGGACGCCGTTGAACTTGACGTGGATGGCATGGATTCCGTTCTCGCGTGGATAGAAGCGCACCGAGTACATCTCACCGTCGATCACCTGGATGAAGCAATCATCGTCCGTTCCGGATGGAGCCACAATCTTGGCATCCAGCTCACCCTTGGCGCCGTTCTTACGCACCATGAACTGGTAGGGAGCGTCCGCCTGGATGTTGCCCTGCGGGAACTGCTGAACCTCCAGCTTGTGGGCATCGCCCGCATCGGGGGAGACGTATACCTTGAAGGGTGAGTCGGGTATGTGGCGATCGTTGAATTTCAGGCCCACGCGGTACTCTCCCGGTTCGGTGACCTTGTAGGACACATCGCAGCTGCCGTCCTTGCGGTCCTTAAACTCGATATCAGCCTTGCTAGGACCCTCCACGGAAATGGCCAGGGAACCACCGCCTGCTTCGCGGGTCCACACATTGAACTCGGCCGCCTCTCCGACAACGCCTCGCTCCAGGCCAGAACCTCCAGCCTTAACAAGATGGCTGCCGGAGTCGCGCAGCGGTCCCACGGTGAACTGGAACGGTGATCCGGGTATGTGCATCTCGGAGTAGCGCACCGATACCGTGTGCACGCCCAACTCCTTGGGCACAAAGTGCACTGCGTAGAGGCCATCCTCCACCTCCTGGATCTCCGCATCCTCGGTCACGTTGCTGGGAGAGGTGACGCAGGCGGCCAGATCGAATGAGGTAATGCCGGGCATCTTGAATGTCAACTTGCACTGGCTGCCAATTTCCGTGATTGGAACAGCATCGCGCTCCCGCTGGATCTTCTCGCGCTGGCGGTTGCTTCCCTCACCGGCAACCTTCACGGTGAAAGGTGAACCCTCCACGTGGTGATCGGCGAACTTCAGGTTAACAATGTAGTAGCCCGGCTCCGTGGGCTTGTACGAGATGTTGAGGGTACCGTCATCCTTATCTGTGCACTGGATCTCAGCCTTGCTGGGACCCTCAATGGAGACCGAAAGTCCACCGAAGCCGGCGTTCCTCGTGTCCACGGAGAAGATGTTGTCAGCGTGGGTTTGACCCTCCTTTAGGCCAGCTCCGGAAACCTTGACCTTCTTGGCGTCGCCCACCTCGCGTTCGCAGACAGTCACCTTAAAGGGTGAGTTGTTGATGTGCTTGCCCAGACGCTTCACCGAAACCAGGTGCTCGCCGATCTCGCGGGGCGTGAACGAGATGCCAATGTTGCCAGTGGGCATGCGCTTCAGGAAGCAGGGCTCCTCCAGGCCACTGGGCGCCTGGATCGAGGCGTTCAAGGCGCGCAGATCGTCATCGGTAATGTCGCCGGGCATGGTCACTTCGGAGCAGGAGCCCACCGAGATCTGGTTACGCTTGCGACCCTCGCCGGTGATCTTGGCGAAGTACGGCGAACCCTTGATGTGCTTATCGCCGAAGCGAACGGACACCTGGTACTCGCCAGGAGCAGTGGGCAGGTATTGCACGGACACAGTGCCGTCTTTGTTGTCATGGTAGTTGATCTGCAAGGTTGGTATTCATAAGTAAAATGCCTAAGTCCTGGCGAGGATATCTCTTACGTCAGCCTTGCTGGGTCCTTCGACGGCCATGGTCAGGCCGCCGGCGCTGGCTCCCTTGGTGGAGATGGTAAAGTTGGCCGGCTCACCGGTGACTCCATGGGTCAGGCCGGGTCCATAGGCAGTCACATAGCCGGAGGTGATCGAGTCAACGTGGAATTTGAAGGGAGATCCTGTTGGCAAACGGAAATTAGCGAATCTAGAATGTTACTACCTTGGATCAATTATCTATTTACCCTGCACGGGTTCTCCGTTGTATTTGACCACGAGCTCGTGGGATCCCTCCTCACGGGGATCGTACTTCACCGAGACGGTACCATCACGGTTATCCTGGATCACGGGTTTGTCTACTTTACCGCTCGGCATTCTGACTTCAGCTGGAAAGGAATAACACGTAAGCCAATCTTTGTTAGTTACTGTCATATTATTTCTTCAAATATTTCACTATTAATTGTATTATATTATATGTAAATCAAAATAAGCATAATAAGTGGGAGAAAATCATTTAAATCAATTACGATAATTTACGTAGAGCTACTAAAAGAATCCCCATTTTCCAGCTAGCTATTTTGAAAAGTACAGTACCCTTAAAAATAAAACCGATCAGAAGCCGTATTGGATGGCATTTAATGGATGTGTTTGTATACTCTGAATTATGTCACTGAAGCATTTTTTAAATAACTTGCGTGGGCGCGAGCCACAAGTTTGAAAAAATCATAATTTCATTTTTATGTTCGAATATGTGTGCCATTTTTTATTCCACAAAGTCTATTTCTGTTTTCTGCACAGATCGAAGATCATGTTGTTCTTGTTTCCGTTGTCCCAACGAAAGTAAATTAATTGGACCGAATGTTCTTCTCCTCTAGAAATTCCAAACGTTTTTATACGTTTTTAAGCAGGATATCAAATAACTATGGAACGTTCTAGCCTATTAGCCGATTCATTTATTCACAACACTCCACATACTTTTCCTCTGCTAGAGAGACACACCCACAAAACTATATAAGGGGAATTCTTGGTTCGGCTGGATGAGTATCCTTGTTTTAAAATCCTTTGGCACTTGGGACCTGGAGTCAAAATCACTTCTCAACTGCACGAATGCTGCGCATCGACTGAGTGACTAGTAATCTTTTGGCTTTCCAAAGAAATTTCCTCCGACGCCTACAATTGCTTTTATACTTTCCCACGCCATCAAGCTAGAAAAATAAGAACAACATCGTTCCTGAATTCCGTGGAGGTCAAATATAGGACACTCTTTCTATGTATTTCCCACTCACATATGTACGTATATACATATGTGTTCCACATAGAACATCGTATACCACATCCATGAGTATTCACATCTCCCTTACCCATTCCCATCCAGAAGTATGTGTCACAAATGCATAAAACCTATTTATACACCCATATCTACCTATGTGCTGGAACTATCAATATGGACGGAATTTATTATGCACGTGTCTGAATTTATATTTAATTCCCGATATTTTTAAAATCGGGAAGACGTCTTATATGCAAACGAATTCCAATGGTTTCTTGCTGTCAAAATATCATCGAGTATACTCGTATACTAGGGATCATTAGTTGGAACAGAAGAGTTTGTTGTTGACAAATAAACAATTTACCCCAGTGAATTAAGATATAAGGGGTTGGCTAGAACACAGTGAGTCACATGAATTATTTAAAGTACAATCAAATTTATTATCAGTTAATTATAGATATTTGCTGACATCCCCCATGAACATTATCGTATATTTTGCTTTATTTAAAGAGCATTTTATGATGATTTCGAAGAACATATGATGTCGAACCGACCATAAATATGTTCAAGGAACCCACTAAGCCTCAAACTTTCAACCGAATAATATTCCGCTTAGCTTTGATCGCTCAGAATTAATGAGTTTTTTGCGGCCAAAAGCCCAATCACAAACAAAGGCGGAAAACAGAGATAAATCAGGGAAGAGAAGAGTCGCGTGCCTGGCGAAAATTTAGACCAAGGCACTATACACATATGTGAAGCAAACTAAACATCTCAAGAAACGCAAGACAATGGCTGCCAAAGAAAAATGTGAGCATGTCTTTGAAGAATCTGCCAAGTGAAAAACCTGCAAAATATAGCCAACTTATGGGCGACGAAAGGTAGAGAATGCAATGGATCCATCTGCGATGGAAAATATGCACACAACGCATATTCTAATCAAATAGATACTCTGAATAATTATTCAGGCATTTGTACTCAGCTGTTCGCCTTTTTGAATTTAATGACTTGTTAAATGAAAAAAGGAAACGCAAAATAGTTCAAATTAACGATAAAATATAGTGTCGAGTGCGGGCATTTAATAAAAAGAAATTCCTTTCGAACAGAATTTATTAAAAAGTGGCTGCCAAGACAACTTTATTCGCTCACAGGCCGCCATCCCCCCCCCCAAAAAATGAATATTTGATTATTTATGTTTGAACATTTGCTGCTGTCCGTCGTCCAACGCAACTCTTCTCCTCCCCTGCCCTCGATCACCTGCCAGCGCCGCCCATTGAAGCATGAGATACGACTGCGACAGTGGATGGGAATCGGAATGGGAATGGGAATGGGAGGATGAGGCGGTGACCACGACGACTCGCACATCTAATGGACGCTGGCAATACAAATGAAAGATTTAATGACTCTCGGGCCGCAACGGGCAGGCCAACGATATTTTCGATATTTCAGCGAGAGTTTGCCATTTGCGCATAGCGAATAACACTTGTATACAGGCCAGCGGGCCACTGACTTTCGTCAGTTTCTGCAGATCGAACTATGAACTCAAGCTCGAACCTCACAATGATGTAGAGTACAGGCATTCTCTAGTACGTGAAGATTGAACTGCGAACTCAAACTCGTACCTCAAAATAATGTATCTATAAGTTTCTGAGGATCGAACTATGAACTCAAGCTCGTACCTCACGATAAGGAGCCTGCTCTAGAAGTTACGAAACTTGGAAGATACTAAATACGAACGTACTAAATAGTAGCCTAATGTCTGCCTTATTATTAACACAATTTTTAATTAATTCAAGCTTCAATTGGAATAGTCTTGTTTTCATAGATCTTTCGCGTTTAAAGAGTTCAACTGCATTCTTAGTGATTGGGTTTGTTATAATGATATCAATAAAACATACATGAATTTTAAATCTTTAGGAAGGCTAATAAAGCAGTTGATATCTGTTTACAACCCAAGAGGAGGTGCACCAAATTTGGCGACTGAAAACCCGCGATGATCAGTGTAAGCCATCATCATCGTGGTGCCTTCTACGCAACCATTGAGAAATTGCATGTGGAGGAGCCAAACGAATTTTACGCTTTGTTGCATATTCTGATAATAAATCATAGAAAATAATTTGCAGACAAATGCCTACGGGCCTTGGGGGCCCCGAGGAGGACGACATCCATCTGGGGGCTTTTGGGTAATAATTCAAATTCTTTGCCCAGCCCGCAAAGTGCTTTCTGTGTGGGCCCGCCTGGCGCTTGGCCGCGCTTTGAATTGAATTGAAAATATGAATGTGAATGCGAATGCGTATGCGAATTTGAATAAAAATTTGGTGTCAGTTTTGCCATTAGCACAAATGAAAAATTCTTGGGGCTCTAGTCAGGATTGGGCGGTGGCTGCATGTGACATCATGGACGTCATCTCATTTGGCAGAGCGTCAAGAATCACAGGGCCTCCCTTTGGGCTAACTTTGAGCTAACTTGGAGCTAACTTTGAGCTCCAGGAATGTACGTTGTTTTACCAGCGGAATTTACCTTGATGCGTTACAATTGAAAACGATGATTTGAAATTCAGTGGCATAAAATCTGAACCATTTAGTCCTTGGTTCTCCGGTATGATCGTCTCATTGAAGTACACGTGCGTCCGTTCCGGGTGATCGCGCTCGGATACGGTCACCTTATAGTACTGCGGCCGGAAGAAGTACGAGTGATCGGCCCAGGTGGCAGGCGGCGTGGGCGCTTTCTCTGACAGCCAACTGAAGTGCATTTTCCCGTAGTTCGGATTGAGTTGGACAAGTGTGTTTCAATTTCAATTGGCAAGCGCACGCGGTTGGGTTTGCAAAAAAAGACACTTAAAATTTATAACAATTTAATTTAACAACGAAACAAAAACGTTCTATTCGACTGTTGGCAGAGCAAACAGCAAGGATGTGCCGTAGTATTTCAAACGAAAAGCAATTTTCGCATCGAAATTCGTTACATATCCTTGCTGGCCAAGAGTTGGAAGACTGAGATATGCGAATTGGATTGGAAAATTATTGATTTGGACACTCACACTTGGGCAATCGACTAGAGGGGTTATATAATAGTAATTACAAGCGATTTGCGAACGATCTTGGGCTCTTTGAGCGAATGTCCTGCACTGCTAAAGAGAGTCCTGGCAATCGATTGCTGTGCGTGCACTTGAGTTCGATTCGTTTTTTCGTTTTATTAATGTGTCATGCGGCTGCGAACGGATTGTATTTTCTTTTGGTGCTTTAATGGCCAGCGACGGTTGGTAGGTCCACGTCCACGCGTCTCCACGTCCCGATTTCAAGTGAACATCGACAGTTCCAAATCGAAATTAAGGCCAAAATATGAAAGCACATCGGTTCCTACCACCGAGATGCGTCTGCTGCCGTGGCCCAAAAGCAGCGCAGCCGCAGCGCAGCATCCCACACACATACCAATATTTTGGGGGATTTTCGAAAATATGGCCGACTGCTATAAGGCAGGAGAGATCGGACCAATGAACGACATATGAAAGATAAAAAGATAGAAAATTGGAAATATTTGCTATGCATATATACTCGTACAAGCATATTTTATATACAAGTATTAGCATAGGTTTCTGCTCGATCTTGGTGTGATTCGAATTCGAACTCGAAAGGTGCAAAAATCAGGGGGACTTTGGGTCAAAAGCATAGGTATACCCTATAGCTATGTACACCCTATAGGTGTTTCGATGTGAATGTGCATGGAAGATCGCTGGCGAAATGAAATTTATTACTTATTGCAGCTCAGACGACATAGAATTTATTAATATTTTACCATTTAATCGGCGGGAAGCATTTAAAAATAAAACGAACAAACATATAGACAGATCTATATTTTATTTTATTGGCGTGAAAGCGTCGATCCGGCCATAAAACCCATAGAATACAAATATAGTCTTGTTGGTATGCCGAAAATGTGTTAATCATTTCGATTCTATATCCGTATTATGTCGTATTAATCGTTAAAGTGGAAAACATTCCATTCGATGAGCCGCACGCGTTTATCCAATACTTATGTAATGGCTTTTGGCAATGGGAAATCGATTTGAAATTGCAAATGGCCAGCTAGCTGGGACACAACTGAAGCAATTGCCCAAAATCAATCAAATTTTTGTTGATCTTTCAGTTTACTACTTGGCAGCGATTATTGACTAATCAAAATCTACATACGCTCGCGAGAATAGGTGTGTGATTTATTATTAGGCACCGCGAAATAGCAGAAGGCAATGCAAATTTCCAGTTTACAAAAACTGTCGATTTCGAATCAACCTGGTCGTTAGCTGTTCATTAAAAATACTGTTGCCCCTTTCATTTGACGGGCAATGCAACAAATGCGCAACAAATCTATGTCATTTGGCCAAAACGAATCATTTACAATAAACCATCTTCAAAGCAAATGGAGCGCGACATAGAAAGCTAAAACCCACAACGAGGCGTGGTCCAGATTCGCATGGTGCAGGGAAAGAACCACCACCAAATGAAACGTGGCGCGGCTTGTGATCTACATCTTAATGATGACCGGGAGGAGCCACTGCCCCCCAGTTGCTCATCCTATCCCAGCCCAGACCAGACCAGCCCAGCCCAGCCTAGCCAAGCGACAAAAATGCTTGAAAATTGCATGGAAGCGTGAAAAATCGACCAAATATTTGCACGGAGAGGAAAGTGCAAAGTGATGTTCATTGATTTGCATGCAGAGGGTGGAAACCTCATTAATCATGTTGAAAATGTTCATTAAATTGCGGTGCAGCGATTTGCAACTCGTAAATCGCTCGCCGGTACATAAATGGCCAAATAAATTTAGGTAATTACCAGAGCCATATACACAAGTTGAATACCCAATTACTTTCCCACGAGTCACAAGTGGTCAGCCAAGTCAATGAACGTGTCGGAATGGAAAACAAAAGAAAATCCCCCTGAAAAGTGAGATGAAAAATTGCCAAGAAATGCAGCCAAAATGCTACAGACCTCCCAGAACACAGAGCACAGATCTCAGAGCCCAGAGAAGAAGGGGTATTGTCTAATTAAGTTGTCGCCTGTCAGCGTTTAGCCTGATAAGCCGTCACTCGTCCGTCCACTTCCACTTTCCCCCATCCAAAAGTTGGGTGCGATGCCACTTGTCCATGGTGTCCCATCCAAATGCGGCGCATCGAAAATATATAGTTGGGTATTTATATTTCTGTATACTTTTCAGACGTATATTTTTGCCTGACAATAGCATGACAATATATGTAATATTCGTCGTATTTTCTTGGTTGTGCTAGATTCTTGCAAATATGAGATACATGTTGCCCGCCTAAATGGCGCATAAATGCTTTTTAGATTAAATAAACTATCCTACATTGTGGTTTAATTAAATGCATGGCTATGCACGGCTAGCTGTCTCTTCTGGCAATCGGTTACCTTTGCTCTGAGGCCTTAGTTTATCACTTCAATATTATTTTGTAGATATATTCAGTTTACATACCTGTAACGTTGCCGCCTGTTGTGGGTAGTGGTAACTTCTCGAATGCTACACTGCGATACGTGATCTCAGATTTTCCGTTGACAAGCTCGCTCTGAAAATGTTAGTTGTGTGCTATTATAATTACTGATTATAGCTTAATAAGAAACGGGTGTGATATGATTCTACGCAAATAATGCTTAAAACGCAATACGATTCATACGTCAGTCCATAAAGAAAATGACTTAGTCTAGATAACTTGTTTCGTTTAATATTAATTCACATCTAAGTTGTTTAAAAAACGTGGAAATCTATCAATACGGTTTGTAACTGAAGTTGATTTGGAAAGCAGATACTAAAAACTCATATACAGACTTTTAATGCAACCCATTAGAGTTTTCTAAGATCTGGACTAAGGACTCACCTGCGTAGTTTGCTGCACCACTTTGGTCGTGTGCTCCTCGATATATTCACTATGCGAGTATTGCTCGATACTTTCGACAGCCTGAGGTCAATGAAAATAAAATTGAATATTAAGATTGCCGAGTCTTGTTTCGGTGGAAAAACCGAAATATTTAAAACAAACACACACTCAAACCAGCAGCCAATAGATCATTAGCAGGCAGTCTGGAGAATGAGAACAACGTCCGAAATGGGTTACTTCGGGTCCATTTACTTTGCACTTGTGAAGAACTACCGCATACGAGTAAAAGGGAGATCTGCTTATTATTAAATCTGGACGCACTGAGTGATATGGGGAAACTTGAAAGTGTGAAACTATGGGAGCAATACACAAATGAAATTATTGGGGAGGAAGTGAAATTGATTGACGCGGGCACGATTGTGCAAAAGAATTTCCACAATTGCAGCAATTACATAAGCAAATAATTATATTTATATACGTCGTATATATCGAAATCATTTCGTATCCGTGGCCAAATCGCAAAAGTCAAAGATACAAATCGCTATAAAATATTTGAGCTATTAATAAGAAGTACGCCAATGCACGGCCAATCAATAGACCAGCAAGGAAAATCGAATTGCCAGTGGGCGACAGTTTGCCAGTTTCGGCTCCACCGCTACATCTGTATATGAATCTGAATCCATATATGTAGCCCATTGACGGGAAATCCATCTTTGCCATCAAACCGTTGGGAGAATGGGAGGAATGGGGCGCACTGAGTTTCCACTTCCAGTTACCGATGCGACACGATCACGACAACGACCAGTACAGGACAATCTATGACTAAGACTAGACTAGATCGGCTAGCTAGCTGCTGCCACTAGTGTCGGGCCTCCGGTCTTCTTCTAGCCACTCTTTATGGCGCTTCCACTGGCGTTGGCAGCCGAAATCAGCACAACACACTTTGCGCCATTTTCATTATACATAATTTTATTTTCCTACTTTAATTACTTGCGATTTTTCTGCGCTGGCTGGCAATACAAAATCATCTTCATATGCATATATGCATATAAGCAGTCGTGGGGCCAGGCGGCGTATACTTGATTTTGTTGCAACCTGCCGAAAGCATCAACGGCAGACCAGAGCAACTATCACAGAAACAGCGGGTAGAACATGCTGATTCAGCGTGGGATGTCATCGTCGCCCCTCTTCCCGAGATCACTTGGATGCTTTTATAGACCGCAGTGGCGTAGATGAAGAGGCTTTGCTACGATTTCGTTGCCACAGTCTAAATATATGTCTTAAGGAACACCCTGTATCAACAAAGTTGTCTTGGATGCTTTGGAATTTGTTTTTCTCCCTTAGCCCCTTAAAAGAATGGAATAATTTTTGAGTTTTTGAATATTGCAGGCAATGAAGAGCTAGAACACAAAATTCTACCATATACCTACACAAAAATTTCATCATTTTGACATTTATAAATCATTTCTAGATTAATAAAAGCGCAGAAACCTGCCTTGTCGCCACAATTTATACTACATTTCTTCTGGATGGCGAAACATGTGTATTTTTGATTGCATTCTAGCAAACACATCCTTTTTAATGGCAAATGTGGTTTCAAAAGACCCAAACAAACGTTTTTGTTCTTTTGTGTGCGGCAAGCACGCAGAAATGTGGACATTTCCAATAAAGAAGTTGCTTTTGTCGGAAATAGACGCTAACAAAGTTGCCCCTTACAAATTGATCAATGTGGGAAAGATTTAATTTTGCAGCCAGCTAATTGTGCAAATCTGTTAAACATAAATTCTGCGCGAAAACAACAGACAACTCAATTAATCTTGGGTTCACGACTCGACCAACATTATTTCATTTTGGGCACCATGCCCGAAATCGCCGACCATTTCAAAACCAATGAGAGGCGCATTGTTCTTGTGGATGTCAGGTCCCATGATTTTGGCCCAGTATTTATGACACTCCATTTTTCAGGTTGTCAACGCAGATGGCGCGTGAATGGTTTCGGCATTTTACTTACAGAACAAACCACTTCTGGCTGAAAGAAAATTGTAGGCAAGTGCAAAGTATAGGCTCTACGTTGGTTAGGAATATTGTTGTTAAATTAGCAATTATTCAGTGATTAATTAACAATTCTTGGTAAATTTGTGCTCAAGCGTCAAGTTGAAGTAGGTGGTTTTCAAGACGTTGCCGTTTTGTTGTTCGCTGTGTTAAGTGCGTTCGGATCAGTCTTTAATGAAATACAGAAACACACAAACAACTTACATAGACTATGGCTGGCTAGCTTACAAACAAAGAAGCATTAAGAGTAATTGTTCATTAAATGCATAATGTAAAACAAAGCGCATTTGGCAGTGTAGCATAGCAGAAATAATTTTGGGAACGAAACAATTTTCATGCAATTAATTTAAATTTTTTTGCCATAAAGATTTTTGAGGTATTTGGTGGGCAAACCAAAAGTTGTTTCTTTCGTTATAGTTTTCTTTTTTATTATTTTGGAAGTCATGTTTTACAATGTTGCACTTAAATCGTATTCTGTTGTTTCTTTTTCTGATCACTCTTAACTCTTATGTGAAATTTGTTTGTGTGTTCTTCGGGGAAGCCCAATGAAAAATGTACACAACAATTTTAAGACGATTTGAGGAGTCGCACGAAACACAAACACAAAACAATGACAATGGACTTGACTAGAATATAATTATTAAGAGGCGGCTGAGCTCTAAACAGCTTCCACCTGGCTTAAATGACTAGAAAAACGTTAAAGTATATATAAGAATTAAAATAATTGCTAATTTCCAACAAATCCCATTTGTGACTAGACTAGATTTGGCTGTGTCTGTTTTGGTTTGATTAAATCAAGAGTTTCGAAAGAAAATGTAGTTCAGGCTACCTTGATGGAGAAGCTGCCGTTCGGGATGTCCTTGCCACCAAACTTTACGTTGATGTCATAATCTCCAGGATCGTTAAGGGCGTACAGAATGTCGAAGAAACCATCCTTTTCGATCACATCAATGTCGACAATTTCGCTAGAGTCAATGGATTTACGTTAGGCAAAGGAACACAGAACACCAAAACCAAATACAATCCCTACCTGCCCGCCTTGTTGGTGATCTTGCAGGTCACCGCTCCATCTCCGGCCTCACGGGCATCCACTTTCAGGTGCGATTGACTGCCCGAGGACTGAATCTTGGGCGCCTGCTCCACCAGCTTGCACTTCTTGGCCTCGCCGGTAGGGAATGCTTCGAGTTTGAAGGGCGAGCCCTCGATCTCCTTGTCGCCGTACTTGATGCTGCACTGGTAGGTGCCGCACTCATCTGGCACGAAGGACACCACGTACGTACCGGTGGACACCTCCTCCAGGCGCGGTTGCATCGCCTTGCCCTTGGGGTTCTTAATGGCCACATTGATATCAGCCTGGCCAGCCTGTTTTGTATCGATTTCAAACTCGGCGGGAAGGGAAGCAGGCGTTTTCTTCTTCTCATTGACACCCTTTACCTTTACCTTGGTGGGTTCTGATTTGGGGAAAACGGTCATCACAAATGGACTGAGGGGAACAAAATCAATCAATCAATCAATCAGATATTTAACAATTTTAAATTTGCAAATACTTATTAAAACAATTGCTCGATTAGTCACTCACCTGCATGGCACTTCAACCTCTGAGAACTTCACCTGGCAGGTGAGCACGGAGCCAGCCTTGGGCGGCACATAGTGAACCGCGTAAATGCAATTGCCCTTGTCTTCCACGCGCAGATTGTCCACGGGAATACCCTCGGAGTTGGTCAGCTTAACGGCAATGCGGCCAGGACCAGCCTCGCCCACATCCACGTTGAAGAAGGTGGGCACGCTCTCGCGCACCTGGCCGTGCTCGATGCCCGGACCGTACACCTTCACCTTGCTGGGGTCCACCGTCTCCTCGACGAGCACGCGGAATGGAGAGCCGGGTATGTGCTTGTCGGCAAACCGAATGGTAATGTCATACTCTCCTGGATCAGTGGCCAAATAGTCCACATCGCAGCTACCATCGCGATTGTCCGTGCACGTCATTTTTGCCTCCGAAGGGCCCTCGATGGCGAGCGAAAGGCCACCATTTCCTGCACCCTTGGTCTCCACGGTGAATTTGTTTTTCTGGTTGGTCAGTCCTTTTTCCAGGCCTGGTCCGTAGGCCTTGCAGCGAGCGGGATCGCAGCCGCTCTTCACGTTCACAACAAACGGAGATCCTGGCACCGGGATGTTGTCGTACATCAGCTCAATGGTGTGGCGGCCAGCCTCGAAGGGAGTGTACATGATGCGGAAGATGTCGTCGGTTGGACCTTGCACAATCTTGCTCGGCAACACATGGCCCATTGGGTCGAAGATCGCACAGGACAGCTTTCCGGAGTCAATATTGCTGCCCACCTTGCTCATATCAACCATGAAGTCCGTGGCCGCATTCATGATCACACCTAGGGAATATCGGAAATTAGAACGGTCCAATATGCTGCATAATTATATACATAAAGGCGTAACATCAACAAAAATAATATGCAGTTAGTTATGATGGAGAAAGGTATGCGTAAAAACAGAAAAGGTAAATTTTCCCAATTGATAAAGCAGCATTCTTAAATTTTGCTTTTCAGTCAAAAAATAATTTGGCTTTCAAAAGATATATCATTCGTGAAGTAATAGTAAATCTTTTGCTCCTTAGGCACTACCCATAATTTCAGATTAGTGGTTTATGGTTTAGTTCAAATCAAACAAACACAAGGGACAGCACAACAATAAAAATGCATGGCGAGGCGATTGCAAGAGGCAACCTTGGTCAGGTTGTGAGTAGAGCGCAGAGGATTAGAGATGTTTTGCAGCGGGAACACTCGGAATTGGCATTTGGCAATTGGCAACTGGTAACTGGCAACTGGAACTCCTCATAGCCTACCATGCGGCTGGATGCCGATGCCGCTGACGCGGGTATTCTTCAGATTCGGCACCGGAACTATTAGTGGCTGGAAGGGCGAGCCGGTTATGTGCCGCTCGTTGAACGTTATGTTGACGGTATAATCGCCGGCCTCAGTCGGTAAATAGGCGACGTTGCAAGTGCCATCTCCATTATCGCGGCAATTGATGGCCGCCTCGCAGGGTCCTTCCACCGTCACTCCCAATCCGCCCTGTCCGGCGCCACGCGTATCTATCATAAACTCTGCCGGCTGGCCCACAATGCCTCGTTCCAGGCCAGGCCCAAAGGCTTGCACCTTGTTCGAATCGCTGCCTGTGAGGCACTGCAGCCGGAAGGGACGTGGAGTGATCGGCGTGCCCCCAAAGCAGATGCTTAACAAGTACTCGCCCAGTTGTGTTGGCGTAAAGTTAACCAGAAATCCCTCTGCGGTCGGTATGATGTGGGCCTTTATGCGATTGCCCGATGGACTGGTGATGGTCACCGCCAAGTCCGCTTTGGGCAGGCCATGCGTAATAATCCGAAACTGCTGCAAACTGTTCAAGGGCGCGGCTTTTGTTTTGGGTGAATGAAATTATGATATGGACTTAGACCATGACGCACTTCAGGTGGACACTATGGTATAAAGTAATTTAGGTGCCTATCCTAGGAGTACTTACTTGGCTCAAGCCCGTCCACCTTGATTTTGGATACATCCACCGTTTGTTCCACGACGACCTTCTGTCCCAGGGGAACTCTTTGGCCACCATACGTCATTGTAGTGGTGTAGGCGCCCTTGGAAGGCGGAATCACTTCCACCGAGTAGGTGTTGTCCTCGTTATCGATGATGCGGCACGGTACCTCGATCTTGGTTTCCTCATGGATGATCTTCACCTTCAGCTCGGCATCTCCAGCCTCACGGGCGTCCACATTGAAGTGTGTGGCCGCATTGGGGCGCACTCCAGGTTGCAGCCAGGGTCCAAAGGCCTGTACCTTGGCTGCATCAACCGGAACTCCGACGTACACACGATGGGGTGAATTGGGCGTAGAAACTCCGCCATAGTTAACTAGAATATTTATATTAAACGTACTACTCAAAAACCGCTTCTACCAAGTCTTACCTTCGACGGTGTGCGGAACTCCAGAAGTAGCCGTATACGTGACCTTCTTGGTGCCATCGGGGTTGTTCTTTAGCTCCACGGGCAACTTGGTGCCGAACACATCCTGAACGACAACATCCAACGGAGCATTGCCCGCCTTGCTGGGGTCCACAGTAAAGCTGGTCGGCTGGTTGATGGTCACGCCATTCTTCTCCAGTCCAGGACCACTAGCCTTGACCATCTCGGGATGGAAATCGGTGCGCGGAAGGATCTGAGCGATAAACGGCGACTTGGGAATGTCCTCATTGTCGCACAGAATATGCACGGCGTACTCTCCCACAGCGGTGGGATGGTACTTGACCAGGGCAGAGCCATCGCCGTTGTCGTGGCACTCGATCTCGGCCTGCGAGGGACCGGCCACGGTGAACCCGAGGGCGCCGGTCTCGCCATTGGTCTCAACTACAAAGGCAGCCGGGTAGCCGATAACGCCGCTGCTCAGTCCGGGCCCGTAGGCCACAATCGAGGACTCCTTCTTGGGACCCACCTTCACCTCAAACGGTGATTTGGCAACTTCTTGGCCAGCAAAGGTCACCATGATGACGTAGCGGCCTTCCTTGGTGGGATAGTAGTGGCACTCGTAGGTATTGCCATCCACCTTCGACTGCATGACGTTCTGGTTCATGCCTCCAGGACCAATGACGCGCACCTCTGGCTCACCCTCGCCGGCTCCCTCAGTATAGATCTTGAAGTCGGCATCGTCACCGACGCGAACGCCCGTTGCCTGGAGACCACGACCGGAAGCACGAACTTTACGCGCATCAGACAGTGGAGCTACTTTCACCGGAAACGGACTGTTGGGGATCGGAGTTCCAGCATAGAAGACATTCACCGAATGCAGTCCTTGCATAGCGGTCACATACTCGCAGCGCCAAGTATCGTTTTCCAGTTGACGCACTTTGGCGGCCACAGAGGTCTTGTGGTTTGCCGGATCGATGATAATCACTTCGGGCACTCCGCGACCCGCATCCTTGGCCAGGATGTCGAAGAAGGTTGGCTTCTTGATGGTGACACCGTTGGGCTGTATTCCGGGCCCCGTAACCTTCACCTTAGAGGCGTCTCCAGCATGACCTTCCACCTTCACGGGGAACGGCGACTTGGGGATGTCGCGACCGGAGAACTTAACCGCCACCTTGTGCGAACCCTCGGCTTTGGGTATGTAGGAAACTGTGTACGTGAGGTTCTTGTCATTGTTAAAGCGCACATCAGCCTTCTCGATCTCGCCATTGGGTCCCTGGATGTCCACATCCACGGAACCTGCATATAAAATATATGGTTAGAAAGGATTTGATCAATGACGAATGTGAAAGCTCACCTTTGCCAGCAGAGAAGGTTTCGACGGTGAAATTGGCCGGGGCTCCCACCACAGGACCAATAGGCTCAATACCAGGACCATAGGCACGCACTCTGTGGAATGAGAAAGAGTTTGGTTACTACGAATTAACAGATTTCGTGAAGGGCTCTACATAGCCAATTATGATACACTGGACCATGGAATAGCGTTTATAGCCTTTGCAGAATAATTAAAACGCCATTGAGTATGCGAAAATAATATTGTTAGGGAACAACACTAGCAAACACAGTTGTATGAATATTTGAAAACATTCTTTTGGGTGGCGCCACTGTGTTCTATAAGCGGTATATTACAGAACTAATTTCGAAAATGCTTTTTTGAAGTCTACTTTTTGGATGTTGTTATAAGCAAATTAAATTATATTTTTAAAACCAACATATATTGTTTGAATTACTATATTTTGATTGATCTACATATTGTTTTATTTTATTATTTTAATTTCATGACACAAGTAGTTGACTAAATTGATTATTTGCTAACATCCAAAACTAATTACAATACACAGAACTGTATTAATCAAGAACAAGTTTGAAAAAATGGTAGTATTTCAAATCTTATACCCCGGCTTGTATTCAAAAATCATGGTAGCTTAACAAAGCAGTAAATAAAATCAGCGTCGGCCAAGATGAATGCGTTTAGTGAGCGCTAATTGTAGAGAGCAATAAAAGCCGGCAGCCAGAACAGGAAAAACACAAACAGGAAAGCAGCGGCGTTGAAGTATCCATTAGATACGGATCGCTCTGGGCTAGCGCGAGAAGCGGAGAGCAACAAAACAAAAGTAACCGAAACTGGTGGAACATTTAAATCACAAATACCACAAGAAGTCAATAAATTAAAAACCGACAATCAAGCGGATAACAACGTTGGCCAAAAAGAAGTGGCAAAACAGATCAGAACGGAAAAGAAAAGAAAAGAACGAGAGGAGACATGCCGAAGAAACTTACCGCGGCGGAGGAATGCTGAGTTTTGCATTTTCAGGCGTTTAATAAATATATATATATGGGTAGGTAGATTATATACATAATATGTATACGGTGCGGATAGGGAAAACAAGAACAATATCCATACATTAAAAATGTTGTTCAATAATACACGGAGAAATAGATATAAAAAGATAAAGAGAAAGAAGAAAGATAGATAGAGTCGAGAACAGATTCAGGTAAATGCATTAGCCTTAAGAACAGACGGAGATAGTTAAGATACAACTTGAATTTGGAATAGAGTTCGGAATAAGTATAACGCTGGACTTATAGATCAAGCGAGGAAGTTCAACTTTTCTAGCTCGAACCGTAACTGGACATATTTCGAATACATAGAACCACATTCATATCGTTTCTTTCAAATCAGTAAGGCTTGGAACAAATGTGAAATAATTTCTTTTGAGCAAATCATGTCCAACGTTTAGTTTGAAAGATGTTAGATGTTCAAGTTAGAGAAGTACCGATTTAAAATGCGCTCGCACTCACCTGTTGGGATTCGTCTTGGGCCTCAAGGGAGCTCCAGTCTTGAGCTTGGAGTTCGGGTACTGAGACAGATAGGTCATCATAGACTGCTCGTCCACGTTGGGGTTGACCAGCTCCTCGGGCTTGATCAGCTGGCGCACGTTGAGCCAGTCATCGGCCAGGCCCATGGCCTCGGAGGCGTTCTGCACGGCATCCTTGGGATCCCACAGCTCCCAGTCGGGACAGAGACCCGGAGCACAGGCGTCGACAAGGGCGCCCACCGCCTTGCCCGTGGTCCAGTCGTTGGTGAAGTTGTTGATGGGCAAGTCGGGTATCTTGGCGTGTATCCAGTTCAGCAGGCTGCCATCGGAAGAGTGATTTAGTACATGGATGACAATAAACCAAGTGGGTAGGCGTCACTTACCGCTGCTTGGGAGTGTGGCCCGAGCCGTTGAGCTGCTTGTCGTCCTCGCCATCCCACATGGGCATCGATATCGAGTAGTGCAGAATCAGTGTCCATATCAGACCGAGTATCAGTTTCAGCTTACAGTCCACGATGTCCGACGAGTCTGAGGAGCGGAGCGAGAACAGAGGTTGGATTACTTTGTTGTTCGGGCGGAAAATCCAGAACGGGGACCGGTACCGGTACTGGTCGCATGCACCTAATGTATCTATTAATTGTCCCGACAACTTGTGGCAGCCACTGCAACGACTGCATGCCTCATCTGTCACTGGCAACACTTTGATGGGGCTGCTGCAAACCTGTTGCCATTCGACAAGTTGCCAATTATGGTAAGAGATGTCCGCTAACTGTTACAACTACTTTGCCTCCTGGTCAAGTTCAGGGCTGATTATACACGCAATCAACAGGTCTTGCCGGTTTTCCTAAACATCGCCGTCGACCTTAAACTTGGCCAACAAAGCCTGCGCTTCGAACGGCTCTTCTTTTGACATGCAAAACCATTTAGAGATAGTCGGAGTTTATTGAACCTATGATAATGGGATCTTTTTAATAGCGTAACACCGCAAGGTGAAAGGCGTGGGGATCGTTCTGATTACCTATCACCGATTAGTCAACACCTGGGCCCTCGGCAAATGCATTTGGCACGCACTGAACCATAACGCGAATGGAATTCCTCCTCCATAGCGGGGAAAGTTGCCACAGGGAAAACTCGGTGCGGTGGCCAGCAGTGGTAACCGAATATGCCAAGTGACGATGGACAACTGCGTCGTTGACTGACGTACTAGATGTAGACTCCGGGATCGTTAACAGTAAGTTAAACATTTTTTAGGCTTTATTTAAGACAATTTTTACTACTCACTTTAAAGACCTCACTACCTCACTCACTAATATAATTATAATAAAATAATAGAGTAGTTATTTAATTACTTACAGCTCGAGATTAATCTAGTAGGAATACGAATAAACATAAAAATATATATCTCTTTCAGTGTAGGGTAATCCATTTCTTAACAAAAATTTTAAATTGTATTTTAAATACTTTTCATGAATAAATATTTTAAAATAAATATTATAACATTTCAAACACTTGTATGGCATTTGCCTGGTTAATAGTTCAAGAGGGATGCCAATGTGATCTTGCAAGTAATCACACTTAAGAACACATACACTACACGCACTGCTCGACCGGTAAGAAAGATTACTTGGAATATTTTGTGACTCTAAATTAGAAGACATGCCTTACATTCCTCACTACAACCAGTTGGGAATTATAGTGCTATAGGACACGAAAAATCTACAATTTGACATAAATATTTACACTTTGTGGGTAAAATTGAAAGATTTTTCGGTTTGAATTACCAGGCGAACAGGAATTCCAAAAGGTGACAAACGATCCTTTGGTTTTCGGTAGCAACCTGCTGCTGATTATGATCGCCTGGCAATTCAATCCGAAAAATCTATAATTTACCATAAATACTTACATTTTGTGCGCAAAATTGTAAGATTTTTCGGTTTAAATTATTAGGCGATCATAATTTCAAACACTTGTATAAATAACACTTACCTGGTTATTTGTTTAAGAGGGATGCCAATGTGATCTTGCAAGTAATCAAGAACGCATACACTACTACACATACACTACATTCACTGCTCGACCGGTAAGAAAGATGACTTGGAATATTTTCTGACTCTAAATTAGAAGACATGCCTTACAGCCCTCACGAGAACCAGTTGGGAATTATAGGGCTATGGACACGAAAAATCTACAATTTGCAAAAAAAATATTTACACTTTGTGGGCAAAATTGAAAGATTTTTCGGTTTGAATTACCAGGCGAACAGGAATTCCAGAAGGTGACCAAGGATCGTTTGTTTTTGGGTATGTATGTATGTATGTATGTATGTATGTATGTATGTATGTATGTATGTATGTATGTATGTATGTATGTATGTATGTGTGTATGTATGTACGTATGTATGTATGTATGTATGTATGTATTTGTGAGATTTTTCGGTTACATTTTGTAGGCAAAATTGTGAAATTTTTCGGTTTAAATTACCAGACGAACAGGAATTCCAGAAGGTGGCCAACGATCGTTTGGTTTTCGGTTGCAACCTGATGCTGATTATGACCAAACACACATATGTCCATACATACATACATACATACATACATAGTTACATACATACATAGTTACATACATACATACATACATATATACATACATACATACATATATACATACATACATACGTACACATACATACATACATACATACATACATACATACATACATACATACATACATACATACATACATGCCCACAAAATGTATTTATTTATGGTAAATTGTAGATTTTTCGGTTTGAATTACCAGGCGCACAGGAATTCCAGAAGGTGACCAACGACCGTTTGGTTTTCGGTAGCAACCTGCTGCTGATTATGATTGCCTGGTAATTCAATTCGAAAAATCTACAATTTGTATGTATGTATGTATGTATGTATGTATGTATGTATGTATGTATGTATGTATGTATGTATGTATGTATGTATGTATGTATGTATGTATGTATGTATGTATGTATGTATGTATGTATGTATGTATGTATGTATGTATGTAACTATGTATGTATGTTAAATTGTATGCAAATTGTAAATTTTTCGGATTGAATTATCAGGCGATCATAATCAGCAGCAAGTTGCTACCGAACACCAAACGATCGTTGGTCACCTTCTGGAATTCCTGTTCGCCTGGTAATTTAAACCGAAAAATCTCACAATTTTGCCTACAAAATGTAAATATTTATGGCAAATTGTAAAATTTTCGGATTGAATTACCAGGCGATCATAATCAGCAGCAAGTTGCTACCGAAAACCAAACGATCGTTGGCCACCTTCTGGAATTCCTGTTCGCCTGGTAATTTAAACCGAAAAATTTCACAATTTTGCCTACAAAATGTAACCGAAAAATCTCACAAATACATACATACATACATACATACGTACATACATACACACATACACACATACATACATACATACATACATACATACATACATACATACATACATACCTAAAAACAAACGATCCTTGGTCACCTTCTGGAATTCCTGTTCGCCTGGTAATTCAAACCGAAAAATCTTTCAATTTTGCCCACAAAGTGTAAATATTTTTTTTGCAAATTGTAGATTTTTCGTGTCCATAGCCCTATAATTCCCAACTGGTTCTCGTGAGGGCTGTAAGGCATGTCTTCTAATTTAGAGTCTCAAAATATTCCAAGTCATCTTTCTTACCGGTCGAGCAGTGAATGTAGTGTATGTGTAGTAGTGTATGCGTTCCTGATTACTTGCAAGATCACATTGGCATCCCTCTTGAACAAATAACCAGGTAAGTGTTATTTATACAAGTGTTTGAAATTATGATCGCCTAATAATTTAAACCGAAAAATCTTACAATATTGGGCACAAAATGTAAATATTTATGGTAAATTATAGATTTTTCGGATTGAATTGCCAGGCGATCATAATCAGCAGCATGTTGCTACCGAAAACCAAAGTATCGTTTGTCACCTTTTGGAATTCCTGAAAAATCTTTCAATTTTGCCCACAAAGTGTAAATATTTATGTCAAATTGTAGATTTTTCGTGTGCCCTATAGCCCTATAATTCCCAACTAGTTCTAGTGAAGACTCTAAGGCATGTCTTCTAATTTAGAGTCACAAAATATTCCAAGTAATCTTTCTTACCGGTCGAGCAGTGCGTGTAGTGTATGTGTTCTTAAGTGTGATTACTTGCAAGATCACATTGGCATCCCTCTTGAACTATTAACCAGGCAAATGTCATACAAGTGTTTGAAATGTTATAATATTTATTTTAAAATATTTATTCATAAAAAGTATTTAAAATACAATTTAAAAGTTTTGTTAAGAAATGGATTACCCTACACTGAAAGAGATATATATTTTTATGTTTATTCGTATACAAAGTGCTACTAGATTAATCTCGAGCTGTAAGTAATTAAATAACTACTCTATTATTTTGTCATAATTATATTAGTGAGTGAGATAGTGAGGTCTTTAAAGTGAGTAGTAAAAATTGTCCTTAATAAAGCCTTAAGAATGTTTATCTTACTGTCGGAACCAGGGATGCCACTCACTGCCACACTCACTGCTCGATCGGTAAGAAATATTTTGTGACTCTACATTAGAAGACATTACAGTCTTCACTAGAACTAGTTGGGAATTATAGGGCTACAAGAAAATATGTTTCCTATGGCCTGCTCAACGAGCCGTTAAACGATTGCTGATAGAGCCAGCTCGCTTACCATTTACTGCCCAACACCCGCAACAGCAATAACCACTTTTTGCTAAAAATTTGCAATTTGGCTTTGTTTACTTGAGTAGCCGACCACTTGAGGCCAGTGGACAGGGAAACCGGCTGGATGGGTTGGCAAGAAAAATGGTCAAATGACTTTGCTTTGTTGGTCGCTCGGCCTCTCCTAAAAGCCATCAAATTGCCGGGCCATCTCTGCGTTTGCCCGTTTAAAATACTTTTACGGTCGAGTGATGCCTTGTCAAATGAATTAGCTGCCAATCTGTAAGCCCAGCCCGATGACATATTTATGAAAAATACATCGAAGACACTGGCGCAACAACTATATTAGCGAGGCGAAAGAAAGCAGCAATTAAAACGGCATGGAAAAACGAAATAGCCAGAAATGATTTGGCTAATTAGGCAGCAGTCAGCGTGCCGATTGGCGAGCCTCGGTAACTGTCTTGGCCAAAACTCCACTTTAACTGGATGTCTTTGTGGAGCTCAAACTGGTTGCTTGTCAACTTCAAGAGCCAAAAGTTTGTTTTTGGCACGGTAGCGCGAACAAGAAAATGTGGTGTAAATTATATAGAAATATGCTAATGCCTGGGGAGGAGAACGAGATGCCATAACTGTGATAGGAATATGCAATGCATATTAACCAGGCAAACTCCAGTCGAGGGAACTTCATATCCATACATATGCATAAGTGTGAAGATCGCGGAGAACGAGAAAAGAAGTTCTACGAAGTGTATTCATTCGAAAGGGGAAATGTAATCCATCTTTGAAAAAGAAAATAGCTCTTGGGATTCTGAATGGGTGCATTCTAACTAATATGGTTAAGGCTTACATGAAGCAGGCATTCTTGGATTCCGTTAAAGGAAACTAATTTTCCATTTTTCAACTGAGATTCTGAGTATTTGTAGATACTTTACGATTTATGGATTATTTTGAAAGAGGTAGGTAGACTGTACAAAATACCTATTCATTTTAAATATAGCAAGAAAACCTACTTAGGAATCGTTCTCACGAGTTTTAAAGAAGTCAATTTTGGAGACTAGTTAGGAAGGCCGAAATTCCATTTAAAAAAAAAAGAAGAAAAAGTATGAGTTAGTTCAAACTTTCAGAATAGAACAATTCGATTTTTTTTTTCCTAAACGGTTATCTCCCTTATCGAATTACTCTTCAAGTGTCACTAAATACGATGTAACTTAGTCATACTGGAATTACGTGTATTATAGAAAATTCACTGACACATATTCCTCAATTTGGATCCTCAATTTTAATCTTATCTGACAGGTAAATTCTTTATACGTAGAAGTTATTATTCTTTGTTTATAAATTTCTGGTTAGTATTAGAAATTCTTGTGTTGTATTTAAAATTGTGAGTCGATCTCAATTTTTATTTGAGCTTGTTGTTCTGCAAAATGAAAGATAAACTTTGAGTAAGGAATGTGTATAATTAGCCTCTAAACAACAAAGATAGCCCTATAAGATAACTTTATCTATTGATAGTGTAGATGGTGTTGCTGAAGATCCCCTCTCCATTAAACAAGCCGAACAGAAGAGTTTTATTAAATTAAAGTAAAGAGTAAAGAAGTAAAGAGTGGACATTTCTGCGATCTCCCGTTTACAATCTATCATAATTTCGCTGTCATTGTCCCCAGCAATCGGATATGTCCACCCAAAACCAGAGGCAGAATCTGGAAGCAAGACCTGCTGCCACAGAAGCCTCCAATCGTTTGGCCATGTCGAATGATGACTTGACATGATTTATGTGCAACGATTCTCGCCTCGATGCGGCCACAGAGTTATTATGATGTTAAGTGCAACGGCAGAAAAGTATTTAACATTCAGATAACAAGAATGCTGAGGCTGCGACTCCGATTCCGATTCTGATTCTGATTCCGAGGCCACAATTCCCGGGTAACCGGCTTGGGTCACCAGACACGTTCTCTGAGCGGCACGCGCATACCAGAGGCCCGAGTTGGAGTCGGAAAAGCAGCCGCGCTACAATGGAGCGTCTGGAAAGATTTTCCGAACGGAACGGAAAACCAGTTTCCGTTCGGTGTGAGGCTAATCATCCAGACGCCTAACTGTTGCTCGGCTAATTAAATTAGAGCCAGGGCAGGGCTAAGCCGCAAAAAATCGTTGACATTGCTTGGAAAGTGGGAGCCTGTCTGCTGGCTCGGAGTTTTAAAGCCGCTCAGAGCTCCATATTGGGCGCACTTCTGGTGTGGGTTGTCCCACATTTTGGATGGCTTCGAAAGCGTCAAATGTTTTTCTTAATTTTCACTTTGTTGGGGGCAATTGAGCGGGGTCTCACCAACTCTCTAACGACCAGCATTTCCTAATCTAAGTAATTGACTGACTGACCGTTCAGGGAATGCAAACATGCCGCCGAGTTAGTAACGATGTTCATACCACCTTAACCTTATCTCAATCCGCTTTGCAGTGTGACGAGGAATGGACATCATTGCTATTTACAGCCCGTGGATCAGAGGGTTAGCTTCGGCTCAACGGTGACGTGTCCGAATCGATGGCGTCATTTTGGGACATTGCAAATGATTTATTAAAACACCGATGAGTACGTGCCAGGTGATCGGGGTAAGTATTGATGTTTGGCCGTGTCATTTTACGAGCGATTCAGCAGAAATTCAACGGAAACTTAGCTGACACTCTGTACCTTACATATTTCCTTACTATGAGCTGAATCACAAGCTTAAACTTTTTGACGGAAGCTGTTAGCACGAACCACAACAAAGTGTCTGACTAATTTCCCAAAAATGTTAGATATCCAAAGTAAAATAGTGATAAAAATCCTTTTGAATTGTTTTTCGTTTTTCGAAAGGAACGAAAGCAACGTTCATGAACAATTTATCAAGAATGTTTTTGGGCAATTTTTTAGGCAAGTACTTGAAAATTGTTGAGCATTTCAATTACGTAGATGCCTGCATGGTAATCAACACATCATGGAAATCACAAAAAACCACAAAAATATGAACAAATTATTAACAAGCCCACAACAGAAGTAAAATTGGGTCAAATGGATGATCAAGAAGGGGCTTTCATTAAGTGGAATATGCATTTATGTGCTTGACTCATCGCCTGGAAAAATCTTCGACGCCCTCCATAGATGATTTTAATGATGTTCGGGCGATGATGGCGTCATCAATAACAATCAATTGGCTGTGACAAATTGAGCCTGACTTTATAGGAACCATTAGGTTGCTGCTGCTGCTGAAAACAGAAGTTGTAGGGTTCCCGAAAAACTTCAGCCAAAAAGCAAAGTATGTCCGATATCCAAAACCAGATGATGTCATGGAGAGTCAACTGAGCGACTTTATCTCTACTCTATCCGGCACGTATTAGGTTTGTTCTTCCCTCTGTTTTGTACTTCTAATTTTGTTATTTTTATTTGTTTTTTCGCTGCTTTTTATTTTTGCTTTTTGCAGTTTATTGCGACCGCCCGAGAGGCTTTATTATTGTTTTGTAGATTTTTTAGCGCAAACATTTGTAGATACGAACAGCGGCGCTCCATGGAAATCTACATTCCCACTTGGAGCCGGGGCTCCGGACTGAAAGACAAGCTCTTGAGCCCGCAGCTGCGTGGTTTTGGGCACAAAAGTCGACGCACACATAACTCCACAAAATTTCGCGCTAATTCAATTGACAGCACAAAAGAGGAAAAAGCTGCTTGGATGAAAATAACCGAACAGAAATGATCGGTGCGATACAGTGGGAACCCGAAAATGTTAAACCCCAAATGCTTGCAAGCGGCGAGAACAGAAATTTCACACGGAAGCTTTCACTATACCCAATTTAAATCGATTAAAACCACATAATTGGACAGCAGGAAGAGGTGGGGCTCGTTAAATGAATTTACTATGTTTTCTTATAAGTTTCGCATTTGTGCAACGATAATGGCCGAAATTGGATGCGTTATCTGTTTACGGAATGTTTGCCAAAATAAACTGGCAATTAATTATTTTGGCATTCTCGTGAATAATGCCATTTAGGCAAAATTTAGTTAATGACTAAGCTGATTAAAGAGTCGACCCAATTAAATGAATGAATCACCTATCCTTGCAAATGAGTTTTGGCAAACACGATTTTAAATTGCGAAATTTGAGTTGCTAGCGCTAACAATTTAGGGGATAGATAGGGGAAGCGTCTTATCGCTAACCCAAGTCCAGAATGGATGATATTTTTATCGCAAGCAAATGAAAGTGCTGATAGCTATAAAAATACCTTTGAAACCTGCGGTTGTACTGCCAACAAGAGTACGTGAACTGAAATTCGCCAAAAAATGTCTCGAAATTGCATTTGCTTTGCCCAACAAGCAAACAAGCGCGTTTTTTTGGCTTTCATTTTCAGTATCTGTATTTATAAGGCAGCTCCCCTTTGGGTCGATAAAAAGTGTCTGTAAACATATCTGTAAACATTATTTACCTAGCTGTCAATTATTGACAAACTGGGTTTTTTTCTGGAGCCTTAAGATACTGAAGTTTTTTATCTGTTTTATATGGGGCACTAAGTTCTCACTGAGTGATTTAACTTGGTCTTATCAATAGCGCTACGGGGTCATTAGAATGCGCACAGGGTAGCTGATTACATTGTGAATGAAATGTAATACCCCTTACCCGGTAAAATCATCCATCTACTGAATGCCTCACTGAGCGATGGATGCTTGAGTTGAGGCCACAAGTGTGAGTCATAAACTGCCGGATCACATGCTCCTCCATCTGTATAGTTTTTAAATCAAACAAATTAGCAAGATGCAGTTAGGTGACCATTGGTATCGGGTTCTGTTTCGCTCGTGATTTGGCAATGGAAACGGTCTTTGAAAGCGATAGTGCTCTAATGAAATTAACCTTCCAAATTGTCCACGCTTCGCTGGTGCTCTCTTGTCTAAAGGTACATGGTATATCAACTTCAAAGTCGATATCTGTGTACATATATGAAGTTAGGCCCTATCAATGTCCAGATCTGTTTGATTCTTAATAATACAGTTATTTGGCAAGAAAACGTTTTCTTTCAAGGCCGCCACCAGCCGAATATACCCATCTTAAGGGGTACTCAACTCAGTAGATGGCGTACTGTGCAGGTACTGCAAATTGGTGAGCACAATCTTGAATTATGCATATAAACACAAATGAAAGTAAAACTCGCATTGAAGCTGGCGCTTTGAATAAGCGCGGCAATGACATCATTCTGTTTTGTAGTCTGGAAGCGAGTCGTTGAAGGCAGAAATTTCATATAAATAATACAACAGATCCACATGAGATCGTGAGGGATATGGCGGGCAGGGGATCTGGTGTTAGCCCGAGACTCTTAAGGCGTTGGCGGCGCATCTTCAGTTGACTTATCTCCCCATTGAAAGAGCAAATTATGCAATTTTCAGTGGAAACATTTTCGATGGCCAACGATGCGAGCGCTTCTAATTAATTCATAAAGTTGTTGCGCGGTTGCTCAAACTATTATAGATACATATGTACGTACGTACAACGTGGGACCCAACCCAAGCTTAATCTAAGAATTCTGCGAATTTCAAATACATACACATGTCTCACTTACCAATGTTAACGATTTTGATACCCTCATCCTGAAGGAATTTCAGGGCCACCGAGACGTTTTCCAGTTTCTGGCTGCGGAATGTTGGGCGTTTGTTGTATTTGGGCATTCGCTTCTGGGACAGCACCTCGATCAGGGCGATCAGTCGGAGGCCGTCGGACAGGTCCGTCTCCAGGTTGTTGATCGACCGATCGATGGTCTTCAGGTGCTCGTTGGCCCACCGGGTGAAGGTGTTCTGTTGGATCTTCTTCCACTGCGCATCCTCGGCGAGATCGCGTTCGGCCTCCATGTCCTCGTCGAAGTTCTCCTCGTACTGGTCCGCCTGCTGGCCCTCCTGTCTGGCTGGCTGGTGGTAGTCGTTCGTCTGTGGGTTAGCGATTACGCAAAGATCAAGTTAGCCGGGTTTACTAGGGTTGGCTGGGTGTGCCGGTAAATGGGTAAATGGGTGGCTTGGTGACTGCGTGACTGCGTGTGGGACGTCGTTACTCCGAAAATCACTTAGCAACTATGCCAGAACGATCTCCATTAAAAAGCGTCAACTCCACTCCTGGTGCCAAGAAGCAAATTGATTCGAATGCCTTTCGATCGGATCTGATCGGATCCCACTAGGTGTGGCGTAGGCCAAGACTTGTTCCACTTGCGGCTGGGGCCGCCGAACAGAACTTTAACTTCACTGGAGTGGCCTGTCCACTTTCCACACATGTCGCACAACCAAGTGGCTATCGAGAACGAACGAACTCGTGATTGCAGGCGACTTTAGAATACGCTTCTCTAAATTCTATTGCTGTTTGCACTTTAGGGTTTCCTAGAAATTAATCTTTACAACCGTTTTTATTTTACACTAAATCATCTCTTTCTGGTATCTTGTATCTTTGAGTGTCTCTGGAGTTAATTGATATTTAATCTATTTTAAAAGTTTGTTAAATATAGAATAGATGAAGTAATGAAGATAATATGTAAATGAATACTTGAGTGGTTTGGGTTGTAGAACTCCATATTTCTGTTTCTGTCAAACTTGCAAGTTGCCCTTAACTCTTTGCGGGCGAAACAAGTTCCCAGGTAACTCCGCCTAATTCATTGTTTACCAACTTGCCCGAAAAGTTCCCGAAAAGGGTATACAGACATAAACGCCGCGAAGAACGAGCACAAAGCGGAGTGATCGGAAGGCGACGGACAAGGGCGCAAAGCGGAGTTCGCGTGCCACACACAAACCACCGCGGAAAGCGCCGAAAAACCAACAGAAATAGAGAATTAGAGCCCCCGCGGCCGCCACCCCCCCGCGTGGGTCGACTGTCTGGGCCAGGCCAACAGGGAGTACGGCTAGAAGAAGAAATTGGAGTGAAGTGCTCGAGTGCGCAGCGTGTGAAGTTCATTAACATTTTCATTAATTGCGAAATGCCGCGACAAAACGCAGTGTGAACTGCAGCACTCGGGAACTACAGTGAAACGGTGCTTAGATAAATTACACCTCTAACTTCTGAATCTGCAAGTGTATACACAGTTGGTTGCATAGTAAACTGTTCCACTGTAATCCCATTACGTTCTGCTTTTTTATTTAACTTTGTGTCCAATCTTCGTTATTTTGGATAGATAGAAAACTAGAAAACGCTTCTTGGCAGTTTCGCGACACTTCGTCATAGGGAAGCTCGCCTGTGGCGCACGCACACTGCCGCACTCGAGTCGCACTCTCACACACACCTGTTGATGGCAAACGTCGTAGTGTGCGGCTGGCTGTTGGGCGTAGAAATGTAAGTTGCTGAAACTGTGCTCCAAATTGTTATTGTTGCTATTGTTGCTGTTGCTGGTCGTATAAACACACGCGTTCTGCTGATTTTGCTGCGAATTTGGCGCGTTCTTTCTGCCGTGACTGTTGTTGTAGTAGTGGTTGCCCGAATTGCTGTAGTTGCTGCTGTTGTTGTTGTTATTGTTGCTGAGGAATATGGTCGCCTGCGTCGTTTGACCGTTTGTATAATTCGCGTTTTGCACCAATTCACCGCCGTGCGTTAGATTTGCCGTTCCGGGACCGTCAGCGTTGTTACTCGAGCGCGTACCACCGTTAAATGAATTCTTATTTTTAAACGTTGAAGTTTGTCGCCGATCACCGGCATTCGGATCCGCCATATCAGCTGATTTGCTGTTGCTGAATAAAGAGAGGGAGAGCGGCGAAAAAATGTAAAAAGAGAGCATTTTCTTTTTCTCTTAAAAATGTACTTCTCTTAGCCAGCACAAACCAGTTTGTAAAAGAATATTATCAACAGATTCAGTTTGTTAAACGAAATTATCAACATATTCAAGTTCAGTTTCAGTGTGAGAGCGTAATTATAAACATATATTTCCTAATTTTTGAGTACTTCGATAAGCCCCAAAGTATGCACTAAAAATAAAGCCGTTGGGAATAACCGCTTTTTCATCAAATGGTTACACCAAAAAAGTTTTTTTTAATATAACTCGTTTTTACGACATTTGTACGAATTCAATTTTTACAGTCGAAGTTAATATTTCACTTTCCTTACTATATCTTAAAGTTAAGATTTGATTTCCAACTGCATACTATAAATGTAAATCGTAATATCATTAGTTAACGCGTTTTGCTATATTTTTCTTGGACCAATTATTAATTTTTAAGATTTTAAAAACACCTAAAAAATCTGTCAACAAAACCACATTAGTAAAATAAAGATAAAGATAAAATAAAATAAAATAAAAGCTCGGAATGCAAAAGTATTCACCAGTGAAATGAATGAGTAATAAACTAGTCATCGAATGACACGATTCATTACCCCAGCTCTACGGTACAGCAGCTATTGGTAATGTACCAAAAATGTATTACTTTAGTTGGCAGCATTATCAAACGATCATATGTACATATATAAAGTTGGGGGACCAAACCCTGGAATCTTCAAATCGCGACCCTTTTCAGAACGGAACCCCAAAACGGAACCCAAAAAATAAAGTGAATCATGATCCGATCCCCTTGCACACCCACAGCCACACCAGCACTCATAACCAGGGAAGAGCAAATAATTGTGGTAAATATTTGGCATATTTGAGGATTGCTTTTGGCAGTGCCTTTTGATTCCACTCCCCCTTTTTCCGCCTGATCAAACGCAAATGCAAAAACGAAAGGCAGAAGCAAATGCACGGCGTCGACCAGACAAGTGAATGAGACAAGCAAATGGGGCTGACAACCAGCGACCTTCTCGATATGGTTAGGATTCGTTAATTTTAGCCAAATGAGTCAAAGTCAAAACGGGTAGCTATGTGCATGTGTATGATCGATGGCAGATCGATGCCCGTGGACTGAGAAATGCCGATTTTTGGCACCGTGTAGTCCTTCGCGAAACTCCTCTAGGGAGCTATCCTTCCTAATAAGGCACTCAATTTCTTAACCGCGCTACACGGTAAAAACAAGTATATCAAATACAATATATGTGTCTAGACAACAGCGCATAAAATTATTCCAAGATTAGGCACTCTGATGTTTGCCCAATTGTTTCTTTTCATGAGATTGTTTACCCTTGCGCTGGGTATATTGGTTGCAGTCATAAGTTTGCTATTTACTTAGCATATTAACTATATAATATATATTCCTGGTCAGTGCGTTTCCGAGCAAACCAGTTTTAAAACTATATGCATTATTACAAAATAAGTCAGTTTCGTTGCTTTTGAACATAAATTTCTTATATTCGGTATAAATCTGTTTTGTTTTTAGAAATATATAACTTCTGTAAGGGTATAGAAGCTTCTGCTTGCCGATTTCAGCTTCTGTTATTACCACGCAAAATACTTTTTTCGCATTTGTGATAATATTTGAACTGCCAAAAGGGAAAAGTATAAAATCGCAAAATCTTTGCGTCAGTTCATCACTGCACATACAGAGTTACCAAAATGAAGTTCTTCGCTGTTCTTTTCTTCGTGTGCAATATTGTAGTATTTACAGTGGCTGCCAGTACCACCTCTGCATATGCCTCTAGCGCAGCCGCAGCTCCCGCGACAAGCCCTGCAAGTGAACCCCAAGGATTCAGTGTACAGGTCTCTCCATCACTGGCGCCCTGCGCGGGAGGTCCTAGTGGACTTCGCGGCCAGAAACTGTACTACTTCTTCTAAATGAACTCTAAGCTAAATACTCTGAAGTAATAAAGTTTAACAAGTTCTAGCCCTTTCAATTAGCCCTGTTTAATGGTAGACTACCAACTAACTTGAACTATAAATATAACAAGAAGAAGAATGCTATAGTTGCTTTCCTCGACTATCAGATATCCGGTATTCAGCTCTTCACAGATTATACATTCTTAACTTCTTAGCGAAGAGAACTATAAATCTCGGGATCTCATTGTTCACACGGACAGAAGGACATGATCAGATCGACTCGACTAGCGATTCTGATCAATATTATATGTACTTTGTGGGCTCGGAACGGTTTCTTCTACCTGGGAAATACTTAACTTTTAAATCCTTTTACTGTGCGATTATCGGGTATTATAATAATTCATTTTTTAGTGAGTCCCAAAACTAAACAATAGCTACCCAGTTAAAGGTTGAAAGTATTTGGCCATTGCTCGAAAAACTAAAAAGAAAGATGATGCCAGACCTTCGCCACATGTAAATTTATTTTTGGAAAACAAATTAGAGTATTTACCCAACTGTCTAAATTCCATCACTGGATACGAAGCAGAAATCTGAGCACTTGTGTTAACAATTTACTTGAAGAGTATTTAATGGTATTTAAGGGTGAAATGTGTTACCCGAAATATCTGTTTTCATTTAAAGTTAGCAGCATAAAGTTATCTGCCATAACATATATCTTCCTCATTTTGTGCTCTATCAACGGAACACAATAATTGGGGTTCTGAAATTGTATTTCTATTATATGGCTTCAAATAATTCGTATTTTGGAGTAAAATAAAAAGTCCAAAATAAACTTTTGCAAGGCTCACTAGGCATGACATTCGGTGTCTTTGGACTGTAGACCTTCATTACATTCCACAAGGGAGTGGGACCATATAGAACAAGTGCGCCTAGCTGAGGATTCCCTTATAAGGCAATAAACTTTTCAAATCGGGCCAAAAACGGCGGCCAAGTGACGACGAGTACGTGAGGCGCCACTTGCATCGCTGGGGAATCGCATGAATCAGCGTCGCTGAACGCCGCCAATGAAATGCTAAATAAATTTGCACTTCCATTTTAATTAATTTGAATTTATTCGAAACTAAAATTACACCCTACATTTACACAGCGAAGGCGCAAGTGAGCAAATTTGGCCCGCCTGTTCGACTAAAAATAAATTGACAAATATTTAGTTTTTATGAAAAGGTAATGAGAACCACATGTCCTCCATTTCCATTTTCGCCGTGAATGTATCGTGGAAAATCGTGTGGGTGAAATGCAACGACTGCTGATCAGATAAGGGCCACCCTAGCCCCACCACAAAAAACTCACTTTTCTGGACGCCATTTCGATGGTTTAGTTGATAGGGATCGCCGTTGAATGATCTCAAGTTGTGATACTTTAGTGGGTGCTTAATACTGATCACTTGATGGCCCGCTAATTACACAATTCCTGGCGTGGCGAGCACGTTTCTCTCAAAAACACAACACAAACCGACTGGGAAACCCTTCTTTTTTTCGTAAACAAATTTCAGAATTTCTTTCTGTTGCTTTTGAAAATTTGTATGTGCACGAGATGCGCGCGTTGCTTTCGGGTTCTTGGCTACTCGTACTCGTACTGGCCGCGACAATTTCTCAACTCGACTGAGTTGTGTGCGCCTCCTTGCTCAAAGTTTTTATGCAGCCAAATGCTCGCCGCTTATTTCTCAATTTCTTTATTATTATTTTCTCAGATAAATCGCACAGCCCGGGGTCATCTTGAATAACTCCTTTAGAAATATTAGCTCACTGCTTTGCCTTGTAATTACAACAGATACTTTCCACACACTCATTCTGGCTAATAGATTGCAATGGCTGTTAATTGATTTATTCTGCGGTATTACAAGTTAAATTATAATGTAATATTATGTTATATCATAGTTAAATCTTTAAGTAAAGCTACACCAAAAAGAATGTTTATTTTAAATATAAGAAAGGTTTTCGTACAGATACTAACAAGTAAGCTGCTCACTAGATCCTAAAAGTGCATCCCCGGCTGTGAAAGGTCTTCAATACATAATTTGTTCAATATTTATCTCGCTTCATGTTTTGTGGTGTGTTTTTGTTATTCCGTGTGACGTCGAAGTCGACGTCGCCGTCGCCGTCGCCGTCGCCGTCGCCGTCGCCGTCGACTGCACTCTTGACTCTGTTTGGCAGGTTTTTGGCGACGCCACTACATGGCCCCCCAATCCCCAACTGCCGATTGTGATTTTCGACGCGCAGCTGATTTTGTTGTTATTCTATTCATAGAACCCGTCGTTTGCGTTTCATGTTTTTGCTTCAATCTTCTCTGTTGCTGGCCACAATTGAAAGTGCCTCCTGCGAAAATGATTCGCTTTGGCCATCTCTGGCGGTCGCCCCAAGTACATTCCGCCTTCCGTGTCCCCCCACCAGTTGACACACAAGGTGCTGATAAAGTATCCCAAATTGAGGGATCGTAGAACCCATAAAACTCTAAAATTAAAAACATATGCGCAGTCGAATGTTGTTTAGTCTTGCGAGATGACTAACTCGCTCCGTCCAAATCAGCTGTCATAAATTCCCTGATTTTATTTGGCTTGGATGTTTATGCTCTTTCGCAGATAAAACTCAGCAAGAGAACGCCAAATATATCGAAGAATTTTAGTTTGATTACCTGATTTCAAATTATATTATGGCGCTCAAATGGTGTGCTATGAATTTAGCAGTGATCCCTTGGGGGCATTCCCTAATATTAATTTAATTTGAGAACTTCTTTGCTGATACAATGAAGAAATATGTCGAATAAAAAGATTTAAGAAAAACCCATGACTGCGTACAAAATGCAAAACTGATTCGAGATGTATACTAATTAAAGTTTTTATCAATTTCAACATACAAGAGTTTACTTAGTCCATAAGAACTCTGTACTAACAATTCTCGATTTTTCAACTTTTTTCAAAATTCAATTTTTCGTGAACGCAAAGCGCGTGTACTCTTAAACAAATTTTATGTTTATTGGCCATCATTATTCATGGCGTTCGAATTAATTTAACAGCTGCTAGTTAAAATTTCTTGTTGCGCATACGCCCCGTTGCCGTCAAGTAATTTCACGTGCCAACGCTTTATTTTGCCTTTCTGGCTTCGTCACTGCTACTTAGGTATTTAGAAAATAATTGGAATATGATAAACAATGACACAGTGGGCTTTCAAATGAAATATACAAAGTTTAAAAAAGGTGATTCCATATTTTAACAGATACAAATACAACAGCTGGTGATTTGATTTGGCAATAGAATATGAAAAAGATAGAATGCTATACTCGAGCTCCCCGGCTATCAAATACCCGTTACTCAGCTAGTGAAAATGCAAACGATAAATTTAAAGAGGTGTGAGGTATGCACCTTCAAAATCCGATTAAGATAAGTTGACTTTTGGAGTTTAGAACTTCAGCCTTGGAACATTTTTTAGTTTTCTTGAATTTCTACAACATCAAAAAAATTACAAAAAAATGTACAAAAAAATTATTGTTTACATTTGGCTATTCAGGCTATTGATCCTGATCAAGAAACGTTTCCTTCTGCCAGTTACATACCTTGCAACGAATCTAGTATACCCTTTTACTCTACGCGTAACAGGTATAAAAATAAATATTAGTCAGACCAATATGACTTTTCATAAGATATTGGGCATCTGTCCAACTGTTTTATAGTCTTATTTCGTTAAACAAATGAAAGTAAATAAGTTAAGGAGTATACAATTAATAAAATTGTATCTATCATTTATTAGTTTGTGTTGAAATCGACTAACATTAGGTGCCTAACGATCAAGGACCTAACGGAAATCTTGTAGGGAGTGCACAGAAGGTGAACGTCTTTTATTAAAATTCCTTCAACTTCTACGCCTAACACCTGGTTAAATAAATCATTTGGGAAATACATTTGCTGAGTCCCCTTAGGTTACCCCGAAAATGCCCCAGGTGCGGCGAAGCATGCGATTGGGGCTAAATAAAGATCAGAGGCTCTATTAACATCTGGTGCCCGACAGATAAATGCACTTTACGCTCTCACTACCGAACATTTAATGGCTCTTTCTTTTGGATCCAGCAAAGAGACCTTTCATCGTTTGAATATATCACGAAATGGCAACGCCTTGTACGCAATATTTCAAACAGAAATTCACATAACACAAAATATTCAGAATCTATTTTATTTTTGGTAATATATTTATTCGAAATGTTTCGTTGGCCGTATACTTTGGGCGAAACTATTCATCACTGTTGGTAAGTATGTAAAATATGTATCACAGTCGGTTTGCCTTTATTGGGAACATTATTTTACATACTTTGGCATTTTCACTGGATTTAACATAATTTTCCCTCGACTCTGCACAAGTTGCGAAATTTCACTTGTTATATATTGCTGTATATATAAAAATATGAGGAAGACCCGCGTCTACATATAGCACACGGATTGCGAATACGCCGCGTATTCCAAGAAAATTCGAGACCCGCACCGAACACGTCCAAGTCAATACAGCAACTGAAAATCTTTTTGAAAATGCCAAGATACAACCCACAACTGAGAGTTTTCCCGGTTGTTTTTCCCCCATCCGAACGGCGAGTGCCGATAGAAATATTTTCAGAATTTCCATGCGCCGTGAGCGATTTCTGTCGACATTTTTCTCACAACTCAAATCATGACTAAGACCACTTCTGTCTGGGCCTACCTGCTTCCAATTAGATCAGAACGACACGTGTGGCCAGTGCGACACTTCCCACCCTCCGAAATAAATCAGAAAACGGCGGGTGGCTGAATCAGTAAGACATTCCGGTTGTCTGTTTGAGCTGCCTCCTGGCTGGGGGCCAAGAATATCATTTTCCTCCAGGAGCATTAAAACAATCTGTCAAATATAGGTGAACTGCAGTAATTATAAAAGTAGAGGATGCGCCGTATTGAGTGCCCCGTAAAAGATACGCCAAAAATCCTGCCTGGTACAGTTTGCGTGCGGTTTGGTGGCGATTTGGGTGCGGTTTAGGTGCGTTTCGGGTGCGATTTGATAGAGTGCTGACAGTTTGGGAATTATATTTAAATGTTTTAATAACTTAATTAATTGTGCAAAACATTAGGGAATTACATTTGAAATTCAGGTTCGTAATGAGTTGAAATATTTTATCCAGTTATTGTCTGCTGGTTGACCTGTGCACATTTGCCATTGCCACTCATCGTTTGTCGCATCCAGTCGCGGTAGTACATTACATCCATAAATATATCCGGCACACCCTGAGCGCAGGGTACAAAGAAGTTGAGTATGCCCACCAGTGTGCCCTGGTGGACTAAAGGACCGCCCGAGTCTCCGTGGCATGCTCCAGTATTTGCCTGGCGATATGCGCAGATATGGCAGGGACCCAGTTCCAGATCTTCGTAGGCGGTCAGCAGGGACTTGCAGGCCTGAAAGCTGAGGTGTTGCTGCTGGACTAGCTGCATCAGTGTTGGCAAGGCCCCCGCCGCCGACTGAGCTCCCCATCCGGTGAAGACCAGCTCCGAAGCTCCTCTGGGCAAGGAGGAAGTGGGTAGCCCAACCGCCTGAGTTAGGGCGTTAAAGCTGATGCTCTCGTTCAGGTGGAGCAGGCCTATATCATTGTGGTACTTGGGACTGTCATAGTTGCAGTGCAGGTAGAGGGCGTCTGGGTAATACAGAGCTCCTGGTGCCGTATAGCGAATAGTTCCAGTGGCCACTCGAAGTCTGCTGGCCGGATATCCTTTGACACAGTGACCAGCAGTAATTATCCATCGGTCCGATATGATGGCACCGCCGCATAGGTGACTACCCAAAGGCGTTTGGAGCGAGACCTGGTAGGGGGCATCTCCTTCAGCTGCATTCTGGCCACCCACAATAAGGTGCTCCACTGCCCATAGGTCACTGTAGAGCAAACCGAATAGCAGAATATAAAAAGGGAACCATGCAAACGCCATGGCTGAAATGCAATCGCGGACTGAACTAGTCTGGTGTTACCCTCTGCGATTTTGATTGAAGCGTAGTAAAGTCATAAAGGCCTGATCAAAGGTTCCACCAATTGCGCCATAAACTGATTTTTTATCTGAATCCGATAAATGGTCAAGAAGGCAACCTGTTAGCCTGAACACTTCATTTGCTGACCAAAGCCAGCAACAAGATGTCGCCAGCGGCTTTACTTATTTTGTTGGGTCTTTCGGGACTCCTATCCGTAACAGCCATACGAATCAAAGGGAACTCTACGGATGAAGGGTTCTTCAAGGATCAAAGGATCGTTGGAGGTCAGGCAGCTGAGGATGGCTTCGCTCCCTATCAGATATCCTTGCAAGGAATCTCCGGCGCCCACTCCTGTGGTGGTGCTATAATAAACGAGACATTCGTCCTGACCGCCGCTCACTGCGTCAAAAATGCCTTCCTTCCATGGCTGGTGGTAGTCACGGGCACCAATAAGTATAACCAGCCGGGAGGCAGGTATTTCCTAAAAGCCATCCACATCCATTGTAACTACGATAATCCGGACATGCACAACGACATTGCCCTGTTGGAATTAGTCGAGCCGATTGCGTGGGACGAGCGCACTCAACCGATCCCGTTGCCCTTGGTGCCCATGCAGCCGGGGGATGAAGTGATCCTCACTGGATGGGGATCCACGGTCCTCGGGGGCCCCAGTCCCATCGATCTGCAGGTTCTATACCTGCAGTACGTGCCCCATCGCGAGTGCAAAGCCCTGCTGAATAACGATGACGATTGCGATGTGGGCCACATTTGTACCTTTTCGCAAAGGGGAGAAGGTGCCTGCCATGGAGATTCTGGTGGACCTTTGGTCAGCAACGGTTACCTGGTGGGACTGGTCAACTGGGGATGGCCCTGCGCGACCGGAGTTCCGGTAAGTGATAGGAATTTTCAACCACTTAGCTTTAGTGTCAGTCGTCCCTTAGAAATCATAAACTAATGTTTGTGAAAGCAATTTATCTGCTCCATTGGCGTCTCTTCAAAATAATCTAGATATTTAAGAAAACATACAAAATATTTGGTGTATTTCCAGGATGTTCACGCCAGCGTTTATTTCTATCGTGATTGGATACGCAATATCATGAGTGGGAACTCAAAGTGCACTGGCTTCACCTCCGACCACGCCTGAAGGTTCCGTGTACTGCGACTATCGTAACCCATAAAAAGGCTAATTTATTGGGCAACGATAAAATAGCCTCGATAAGAATGGGCCACCTAATAAAGTTTTGATAGCGAATAAGTTGACGTTTAGTGTTCAGTACTTGTTCAAACCTTCGAGATGAAGCTGCTCCGTCTAAGCCTTTTGCTTCTCCTAGTTGTGAAGCCCCCGAATCCCTGTCAATCAAAGCGCTTGGTAGGACCCTTTTCCGCAGGTCCATCCGGCAGGATTAAGGGCGGCGAGGAAGCTGAGGTCGGATTTGCTCCGTACCAGGTTTCCCTGCAACCCATAGTGGGCTACCACAACTGCGGTGGTGCCATCCTAAACGAAAATTGGATCATAACAGCCGGACACTGCGTGGAGAATTTTGTTCCCGCCCTGGTCAATGTGGTCACGGGCACCAATAAATGGGCAGAGCCGGGAGCCGTCTACTACACCGCCGAGATTCACATGCACTGCATGTACGACAAGCCCTACATGCACAACGACATCGCCCTGGTGAAGCTCACCCAGAATATCACCTTCAATGAGCTGACCCAACCAATCGCCTTGCCAATTAGGCCGGTTCAACCCGGCGAAGAGATCGTCCTCACGGGCTGGGGCGCCGATGTGCCCTACGGGAGCGCCTTGGAGGACCTGCAGAAGCTGACCATGGGCTTTGTTCCATTCAACGAGTGCTTCGAGACCTTCAACCGAACCAGCAACATGGGTGTGGGTCACATCTGCACCTTCTCGCGCGAGGGGGAGGGCTCCTGTCACGGCGATTCCGGTGGCCCGCTGGTGAGCAATGGCCGCTTGGTGGGTGTGGTCAATTGGGGACGACCCTGCGGGGTCGGACTGCCCGATGTGCAGGCCAATGTGTACTACTACCTTGACTGGATTCGCAGCAAGATCAGCGGCAACGACAAATGCTACTACTGATGTACTTGCCAAATTTAAGTTGGCTATTACATTTCTATTACATTTCAGGGGAAAATAAAGAAATCTTAATCTATATTATAAAAGTGCCTTTTAAAATGGTGTTGCGTAATTATCAAATGAAATTTTAAAAAGAAGCTTTTAAAAAAACTCGATTTCTTAAACAGCTTAAACGTTTTGTTAATAAAAGTTGCTATTAAAAACTACTTCCAATATTCAAGAGCAATTTTACTTAGCAACATCAAGAAATTTAAATTAATCATGAAAGCAATAAACATTGCTTTACCTTATTGTTAATCCGCCATTGGCTTTTATTCAAACAAGTTAGTCAGGGTACATTCTTACCTACTCGAATTGTATATCTCGCTCAGCTTATTGTCCTCTGGGATCACAGATTAGGATAGTTACTGGCGTAGCAGTGGCAGTTGCTACATGGTCCCGAGGTCATGCTCCTAATCCATTCCAGATAATAGTAGACGTTGGCGTGACTATCGGGAACTCCAATTGCACAGGGATAGCCCCAATTGACCAGGCCGTAGAGCACTCCATTGTACGTTAGCGGACCGCCGGAATCGCCATGGCAGGCTCCCTGTCCACCAGTCGTCAGGGTGCAGATGTGGCAAGGACCGTTGGACGGATCGTGGTTCATTATCTCCTGGCAAGTCGAGTAGACCACATGGGTGAGATAGGCCTTTTGGAGTACATCGGGCGTATCGCCCCAGAGTTCTGTTGAGCCCCAGCCCGTGAGGAGCAACTGCGTCCCATTGGCCAGCGGAGCTGTGGGCAGCTCAGCCGGCTGCGTGTACTCATTGAACTTGATCGTATCGTTCAGCCGGATCAATGCAATATCATTGTAGTAGTCGGGACTGTTGTAGTTGCAGTGGATCCAATGCTCCTCCACGAAATACAATGCATCCGGCTTTTCCCACTCTACAGTTCCCGTGGCCACTCGCAGGTAGCTGGGGTTGTAGCCATAGACACAGTGGGCCGCCGTCAGGACATGGCGTTCGTCGATGATGCATCCGCCACATATGTGGCCTCCGTACATTCCCTGCAACGATATCTGGTACTTGGCCTCGCCCAACTGCGCCTCCTCGCCATTGATCACGCGATTCTGGAAGCTGACTCCTTCCGCCTTCGAGATCCACTCCAGCTGCTTCTCACTAAGCTGTGCCAATCGCACGGCACTGATGGGCTCATAGCAACTACTGGCCAGGACGATCACAAGGATCTGCAAAACACCCAGTCGAACCATTACGGTGGGTGCTTGAATTTCAGTGCGACAATTAAACCTGCAGTTTATGGGCAGTGATTTTTCTTTTATACTCGAATGGTTTATCGTAAGTCTTGGGGTTTTATCGTAAATCGGAATCAATGTTTCCGCACAATATACCTATGCCATAAAGTCTGATATCGTACAAAGATATAGACGCACACTGATTATCATTTTGTGACAGGGCAATCGATGTCAGAGCCGCCTTTGGATAAGAATAATACCTAGAATGGTCACTTGGTGGATATTCACAATGGACTTTGTAAAACGAGGGTTGCATCTGTTGCCACCTACACAATATATCTAAGGGATATGTTGTTTGTGGTCAAGCAAGTCATGTTTTCGAATATCAAATTTCCAAAAGAAACCAATTCACTTAATAAGACTTTTCTACGGAGAATTATACCTCCTCGAGTTTCTTATATTTTTCATAGTATTAAGTTTCCGTTTTTTTTAATTGCCATTTAATGCAATATATATTAATCAGAAACAGCAGCAGAATTTGTATCACTAAGCTCAATGCCATTTTCATAGGCAGAATTAAGTTGTGTTTTAAGCATATTCTTTGGAAATAGGTAAATCAGCACCCAAGACCTGCTGTCCCACTAAAAGTAAAAGCTGTATCATGGAAATGTAAATTAATTCGATCATGTTTTGAGATGGTATCAGAAAATATAATTTCTGACTTCAAATTTTAATGCCATATTCCTTAAAGATTATGTAAAGAATTCTATAATATGGGCTATCCATTTTGAGGATAGAAATGCAAAGAATCTAACTAACAAGAATCTATCGTAGCCAACCGAAATAAAATACATATAATTCGTTTATAATTAATTGGCACCATTTAATAGTACTGGCCAAATCATTTCACGTGGATAATTTTTCAGCCCTATCCTGACATTACCTTGTGCCATAACATGTTAGCAAACAGCTCCATAAAAGTGCTGATTGCCCATCTAAAAGCAGGCAATGACCACATGAGTAAGGGGTATGTGATATCAGCGTTGTTTTAATCAATACATTTATTTCATAATTTTATTACATCATAGTGGTACCACCTAATCGCTATCCCATATTATCTCTTTCAGTTAACACGATTCTTGCATCCTGAGCGAGTCCTTCGAATCCAATCCTGGTAGTAAACTGTGTTGGCATGCCTGCAAGGATTCAAAATTCGTAAGATCCCACCTTTTAAGAGGTAGTTGAACTTTATCTTACATATCTGGCAAGCCGACGCCGCAGGCTCTACCCCAGTTGACCAGGCCCACCAGCTTGCCCTCCCACATCAGTGGACCACCGGAGTCTCCGGAGCAGGCTCCCTCCCCATCCCGCGTAAAGGTGCAAATATGACCGACGTCGATGCCATCGTGGAAGTCCCATCTCTCCCTGCACTCCTCGTGTGCGATGAGGGTCAGATTGATGGTATGCAGATGTTGCACTGTGGGAGAGCTGCTTTCCGGAGCACCCCATCCCGTCAAAGTGACGGTGGAACCCGCCGGTGGTTGTTCTGTGCTCAACTCAACGATCTGGGTGCGATCATTGAGTATAATCGACTCGTTGACATGGATCAGCGCTATGTCATTATTGTAGACATAGGGAATGTCGTACAAGCAATGGACTAGAGCCTCGTCCGGAAATAAAGTCTGTCCTGGCTCCAGGCGATCATTCGTGCCGACGATAATCCTCAGATCCTCGATGCCATAGTCCTTTGCACAATGGCCCGCGGTGAGGATCCACTGCTCGTTGAGAATGACTCCGCTGCAAATGTGGGTTTTCCAGGTGGTCTGAATGGACACCTGATAAGGAGCCACCCCGTCCTCCGCCTCCTGGCCACCCACAATTCGATTGTCGAAAAGTTTACGATCCAAGCGCTTTCCGCGCGTGACGTCAATGGAAGTGACCAGCAGAAGCAGCCAAATCAGAGGAAAAGGGACAGCCATCACCTGAAAAATATTTCCGAGACGAGGGACGATGCCGGACCGCGCGAATTAATGACCAGCAATGGAAAATTGTATGACCCAACTGAGCGTTTTTATATGCATTCCATATAAACCTATTTTATCGCACTTCGGGAGTTGGTTCAATTGGGTTTTTCGCGGCCAACTGACCACTGGCCAGCAATCTTTATGGCCATGAGCAGCCAGGTATCTTTACGGCTACAAGGATAAAACCCAATCGCTAAAGGCGGAACGTGCAATTGGACCTGGTCGACCATAAACCCAGGGACTTGTGTGACACGGCAAATCTCGGCACTCTATAAATGCACCGATCGAACTAGCCAGTCAGCTCATAATGACCACGGCCGCATTGCCGCATATGCCACTTATCGCCATGTCCAGACCCATAAACTTCCTGTTATCCAAAATTCGACCAAACTGGGCGATAAGATCCGCCATATGAAGTGTAATTTAAAGGTGCCCCGCCTGAGGGCTTTTAGTTTCGATTGTATCGCGGATATACCAACCATGGGAAATAAGTGGAACCTTACGGCGCTGCTGGGTTTGACTCTGCTGGCTCTGCACCAGCCGACGGAAGCCATGAGGATGAGAGGAGAACCGCTTCCGGGCTTGGCCAACATCGAGAGGCATCGCTCCACCGAAGCTGTGCCCCAAAGTCGTGTGGCCGGAGGCACTACCTCAGCCGAGGGCAAATGGCCCTGGATAGCAAGTATCCAAAATGTATACTCGTATCACCTGTGTGGAGCCATCATACTCGACGAATACTGGGTGCTCACAGCGGCCAGTTGCGTGGCGGGATTGAGGCCATCGAGGCTGCTGGTTGTGACTGGAACTTCGGATTGGTGGGATCTGTATGCTGCATACTACACTGTGGACCAGATCCATGTGCACTGCAACTTCGACAAGCCGCTGTATCACAACGACATAGCCCTGCTGCACTTGTCCTCCAAAGTTGAGTTCAACGATGTGACAAAGAATATAACCCTGGCGGATATCGATGAATTGGAGGAGGGGGAGAAGTTGACCTTTGCCGGTTGGGGCAGCGCAGAGGCCTTGGGCACCTATGATCGGTACCTGCAGGAGGCATCCGGCACATATCTGCCGGTGGACGCGTGCCGGGTGAAGTTGCAGAACCAAGATGATGTGGACCTGGGTCACGTGTGTGTCCAGATGGACGCGGGCAAGGGCGCCTGCCATGGGGACACTGGCGGACCGCTGATCGATGAGCAGCAGCGCTTGGTGGGCATTGGCAATTGGGGTGTGCCATGCGGACGTGGCTATCCGGTGAGTATTCCGCCGATATCGGACCGTTATATATGTATTTATTGCCCATTGTTTCCACTAGGATGTGTATGCCCGCGCTGCCTTCTACCACGATTGGATCCGCACCACCATGAATGGATGTACGATCGCCTAGACATTGGTCACCTCCTATCTGTGCACTGAGGGCAATGCGATTCATCAGTTTGGCAAGGGATTTTTAATATGACAAATACATTGTAAAAGCTCTATTGAATATGATTCAAGCATTAAAAATTTGTTGTTTTGGATTTACCCTTAATATCTCAGTTATTTCTTGTCGACTTAACCTTTGGTATGGGGTATAGAAAATACCTTCAAAGAATATAATTTTTGTGCATGTTTAGATTACTAATAGTTCACCTTTGTAGACCTTAACATTTTTTGGACATTCTTTAGATTTTAAAATATTCGCATTTTAATACGAAGCATAATGTACCTGAAAAGTAAAAAATTGAATCTTGGAATTGTCCATTCATCTTATCGAAATAGTGATAAGATGGGATAATAAACAAGATAGATTGCTTTAGTCGAGTTCCCCGACTATCAGATACCCGTTACTCAGCTAGTGCGAATGAGAAATTTCATAATTTCAAGATCTTAAGATTCTAGCTTTTGTAGTTCCTGAGATCGAGGCGTTCATACGGAGAGATAGACAGACATTTATCCTGATCAGAAATATATGTATATACTTTATATGGTCGGAAACGCATCCTTCTGCGTGTTTTCAACGAAATCTAGTATACCCTTTTACTTTACGAGTAACGGGTATAAAATTCATTATTGCCAGTGATTCGAAAATCGTTTTGAAGGCATTTTTTACCTAAGCGTAAGTACAGGCAAGTACAGGAAACATGATTTGTGTAGCTGATTTATAAAAAGATATGGGATTTTTACGAGGGGAGAATTCGTGCTTTTCGTTCGGGCTGACCATGATTGAGATTGCACTACCTTTATGGCGGCTCATTAATATCACGCCAACTATCTAATATCGTACATTGAATATCGTATGTGGGAACTTAATTTCTTTTCAGCTGCACTCCTTTGCAATTAGTCCAATTTTAGCCGTTCGTCCAAGATGTCTTACCAAACCAGAGCGGTCTCTCTACTCGTCCTCGTCCTGATGGGGTTATCCTTTTCGGAGGCGAGCCTACGTCGTCGAGCTTTATCCTCAGAAAGTTCCAAAACCGCGAGTAAATTTAGCTCCCGAATCCTTGGAGGAGAAGAGTCCGATATCCTGGCAGCACCCTATCTAGTCTCGCTCCAAAACGCCTATGGGTAATCAACTTATTCCTGTTTGAACTATTCTATGGTGAAAATATATTCTATATTCAGAGCTATAATATATTTTAAAGCAATATAATTTTATTGTCTTAAGTAACATTTTATTTTTAACTCTTTTATTTATTTTTATTTTTTGAAACTCTTTTAAGTAACCACTTCTGTGCCGGCGCCATCATCCACAATCAGTTTGTCATCACCGCGGCCAGTTGCGTGGCTGGACTGCGAAAAAACAACGTGCAGGTGGTGACCACCACCTACAACGACTGGGCATCGGAAGGCTGGATATACTCCGTGGAGGATATCATCTTACACTGCAACTTCGACAAGCCGATGTACCATAACGACATTGCACTGATCAAGACACATGCTCTTTTCGATTACGATGATGTGACCCAGAATATCACCATTACTCCGTTGGAGGATTTGACAGATGGAGAAAAGCTGACCATGTACGGATACGGCAGCACGGAGGTGGGAGGAGACCTCTCGTGGACACTGCGGCAGTTGGATGTGACCTATGTCGCCCCGGAGAAGTGCAATTCCACCTACGGCGGTACTCCAGACCTGGATGTAGGTCACCTTTGTGCCTTGGGAAAGGTGGGAGCCGGAGCCTGTCATGGGGACACCGGAGGACCCATCGTTGACAGTCGTGGTCGCTTGGTGGGCGTCAGTAACTGGGGTGTTCCATGCGGCTATGGGTTCCCCGATGTTTTCGCCCGCATGAGCTTTTACTACAGCTGGATTGTATCCACTATCAACGGATGTGCTATTTCCTAGTTCAAGGAGTTGCAAAAAGTGTTATCCAATATATTTATCCCGAAAGACACCGTCATTCAATAAAATACTTTAAAATTTGTGCTCTGCATTTTGAGTATCGTCGGACGAATATTTTGATAGAAACATAATTTCTTGTTTATCAGGGATGTTCCAAACGATACATAGTCTCCTAAATTATGTCAAAGTCCAAAATGCAGTGAGTGAAACAATTGATTAACTTGAAATCTTGATAGAACCTTGTCCAGACGTCTACCAATTGTTGTAATTGTGGGTGATAAGTGAAACGTCAAAATTCATTGAAGCCATAAAAATCAATTGGTTTTCCAGAAACAATATAATACCCTACGAAACCTTGGCACACCGAACAAAGTCTATACAGTACTTTTTATTAGTGCTTGATAAAAAACAAAATACTTAGGGTTTTCATAGGCGAACTCGTCTGATTTAATTTTTGATATCCTCTTACATTTGTGTACAATTTTCCTATCTGTTTTAAGTTGGCTACCCTAAGGGTATGCCAACTTCAGTATCTTCAAGAGGCCTTCAATCATTTCGCAATTATTCCAGTTGGGTTTTGAGTAGACTTCCATCCGATTACGACCCTATCAACCGGCGGCGTCTGAAGATCTGCTAGCGCAACTCGAGTAGCACAAAGTCCGCCACCGTTGCGTATGAGTAATCTAGTTGCGGTCGTGTGCTCGTTGTCTATCACTCCCAGTCCAAATGGCAGTAGAATTGCCCCCTATCAGGTACTTTATACGGGCTATGGAAATTGTCATTACCGGAGCTTTCCCCGAACTGAGTCGCTTATCGCCAAGAAGTATTGAAAGAAACTCTTCGAGAGATAACGAAATTTCGCACAGGGCTATAAAAGCGATTTCGGTGCCAAAAAGTGGGCAAACCGTTTACGGATGTTGAGCACAACACAACACAAAAAAAACTTTTAATTGAAACAGATACTTAAGCAAAATGAAGTGGCTAGTACTGATCAGTGTTTTGGTGATCCTGTCTCAGTGTTCGGCGAAAAGCGTGAAGATCCATCGGCGACACCAGCTTAATCATCATTTGGGCTACGTTAAGCCCGAGACCCGGGTGATTGGAGGAATCGATTCCCCCTCTGGATTTGCTCCCTACCAGGTGTCCATCATGAGCACCTTTGGAGAGCATGTGTGTGGTGGCAGCATCATCGCGCCACAGTGGATACTCACCGCCGCCCATTGCATGGAGTGGCCCATTCAGTACCTGAAGATTGTCACCGGCACATTGGACTACACGAAACCAGGAGCGGAGTATCTGGTAGATGGTTCGAAGGTCCATTGCAGTCACGACAAACCGGCCTATCACAATGACATAGCATTGATCCACACGGCTACGCCCATTGTTTACGATGCCCTGACTCAACCTATTAAGCTGGCCAAAAAGGGATCACTGCCGAAGGCGGGAGACAAGCTGACACTGACGGGTTGGGGCAGCACCAAGACCTGGGGAAGGTACTCCACCCAGCTGCAGAAGATCGACCTGAACTACATCGAGCACGACAACTGCCTGTCCCGAGTGCGAAACGCCAACTGGCTGAGCGAAGGACATGTGTGCACCTTCACCCAGGAGGGCGAGGGATCCTGCCATGGCGATTCCGGCGGACCCTTGGTGGATGCCAACCAAACCCTCGTGGGCGTGGTCAACTGGGGTGAGGCATGTGCCATTGGCTATCCCGATGTCTTCGGCTCGGTGGCCTACTACCACGATTGGATCGAGCAGATGATGACTGACTCTGGAACCGCATGCTGAACCGCAAAGGTCCAAAAGTCGCCCGAGGGGGTACAAAAGCCAAAAGCGAACAAAAATAGCAGCTGCCATATAATGGCTCCTGCAAATTGATCAAATTAGACTGTAAATTTTATCACTTAGATATCAAAGATATCGTAAAATATTTATGAACAAATAAATGAACAATTGCGTATCAGTTAAAACAAACAGTTAAAAAAAGTCTTACCACTTCTAAAAACTGCCATATTGATAGACTCTCTGAAGGAAATCCCCCACTTCATGCTGTCCAGATAACTCCAGAGCCCAGTCATTCGTATGATCCATCATGATATTCGGTTCCCAGAACTGAGTCAACAAACAGTTAGGAAGAAGTGGGATATCAGGAAGTATTGGCTATCACCTGTGGCATTACTAAATGTACAGATTAGCGTATGATTGGCCATGGAAATAAACAGCACCTAAGTAGTTTTCCAGCAGGTTCTCGAATTAGGAGATAATTAAATAAAACCCATTGAAAGATTACTTTGATTGATAGTATGCCGGCACACAAAAGTCGATTTGATATTTGACAGGCGCGAAAATAACACTTTATTATGGCCTCGATGGTAAAAAAAAACATTTTTATTTTTCTCATTGCACAAGCTTATAACATAGCCAAAGGTAAAGTAATTGGCTATCTACTTTTCAAGTTCCTGTTATGTAAATTACGTGCAAATCGTACTTATCAGAACAACCTTGTTTGTGGTAAGTGCCTGCCTAGAATGCAGGGTTCCTCACTCAGCTGGACTTTTACAACCAGATATTGGCCACGGAACGTGACTGAATTGGTAATTGTAAAGCGCAATTCACCTATAAGAAACATTTGCCGCGGGGTTACGAAATTCAGTTATTCCAAAGGCAAGCAGGCATTATGTTGCTCATTTTGTTGCCACTAGTTCTGTTCACTTCGGGTGCCACAAGTCAGATCCTTTATCCTCCCCAGTACACCAAGAACCGCATTGTGGGCGGGGAGGAGGCCGCCGAGGGGCTGGCACCTTACCAGATTTCCCTTCAAGGAGTCGGGAGTGGAGCTCACTCCTGTGGCGGTGCTATTATTGATGAGCGGTGGATTATAACGGCTGCTCACTGTACGAGAGGCAGACAGGCGACGGCATTTCGAGTCCTTACAGGCACACAGGATCTGCATCAGAATGGCTCCAAGTATTACTATCCCGACAGGATCGTGGAGCATAGCAACTATGCACCACGGAAGTACCGCAACGATATAGCTCTACTGCATCTGAATGACTCGATTGTGTTTGACAATGCCACCCAACCGGTGGAACTGGATCACGAGGCGTTGGTTCCAGGATCCCGTCTCCTCCTAACCGGTTGGGGTACTCTATCCCTGGGCGGAGATGTTCCAGCCCGTCTGCAGAGTCTGGAGGTCAACTATGTGCCCTTCGAGCAGTGTCGCGCTGCCCACGACAATAGCAGCCGGGTGGACATTGGCCACGTTTGCACCTTCAATGACAAGGGACGCGGAGCTTGTCATGGTGATTCCGGCGGTCCGCTGGTGCACAATGGCAAACTGGTGGCTCTGGTCAACTGGGGGATGCCATGTGCTAAGGGTTATCCAGGTAAGGGTGATTAAAATTGCGAAAGTACATGCCATCTTCTTAAATGACTGTATTCTACAGATGCCCACGCTTCAATTGCTTATTACCACGACTTCATACGCACTCACCTGAGTCTATCCAAAACGGACAGCTCTGAGGATATCCAGGCGGAGATTGTTGCGCCCCAGGATTAGGGACAAAATATTGATGGAATGATAGAGGAATTTCCCTGCAAATAAAACATACAAATTGATAAAGTTGTGGAAATATAAACGAAAGCATTGCCTTTCATTTTTACACGTTTTAGAGCTGCTTTGGGATAATTTTAATTGACTAACGTAACTGATCAATGCAAACTGGAAATTTAGTGTAACAATGTGGCTTTATTTTGAAAAAAATCGAACAAATTACACAGTTATTTAGAACACAATTTAAGTGCTAATAGCACCTTTGAGGGTCATTCTAGGGAGCCGCCAACGGCGAGATGAAGTTCCGTGAGAATGGAAAGGTACTCTGGAATTTTGCAAGGCTATCGGCTCTGCAACGGACTCGAAATGCGTTCCCCAAAAAAATGCCCACTGCCAGCTTCAGCAGCACCAAGGATAGTTCCACATCCGATCAGCCCAACCTACTGAAGTATCATGTCTTGCCGCTCGAAGAAATCCTGAAGCGCTTTATGATAACCGTGCAACCATTGCTGACACCCGAGGAGTTTAAAAAGCAGGAGAAGATTACTTACGACTTCCAGAACGGGCAGGGCGAAGAGTTACAAAATCTGCTGGAGGAAGTTGGTGGTCAGGAGAAGAACTGGTTAGCCCATCGCTGGCTGAAGGTGGCCTACTTGCAGTTTCGCTCGCCAGTGACTTGCTTCTCCAGTCCCGGCATGACCTTTCCCAAACAGAACTTTGAAAATGCGCACGATTTTGTGGACTACACGTCGAGAGTTATCTTCGGATTGGGTGAGTTTAATGATTTGGTGCACGCCAAAAAGATTCCGATTGTGAAAATGGGCAAGAACGAGTTGGACAACAGTCAGTTTGGCAAGGTGTTCGGCACTTGCCGGATACCGAAAAGGTTCACGGACGACATCGTCTACAATCCGTGCTCTGATTATGTGGTGGTTATCTACCGGAATCATTTCTACCAACTGAAAATATACGACAAGGAAGGAAAACTCATAATTGCCCCCTGTCTGGCTGTTCAACTGGAGGAAATAATGGCCAAGGAAACAGAGCGCGGAGTGCCCTATGGAATTTTGACCACCGATTCGAGGGACAACTGGGCGGAGGCATACGAACATCTGTCAAATAAGCCCCGTAATAGGGATGCCTTAACCACCATTCAGAAAGCCATGTTCACGGTGTCCCTTGACGAGTGTACCAACCCAAAGGAAGGTCGCGATGCCGAGGAACTGGTCCTCTCGCTGATCCATGGAAAGGGCAGCCAGTGCAACAGTGGCAACCGCTGGATGGATAAGACGATTCAGCTGGTGGTGAACCCGAATGGAAACGTTGGATTCACCTACGAGCACTCGCCGGCCGAGGGTCAACCGATCGCCATGATGATGGACTATGTGGTGAAGAAGATGAAGGATGACCCCAGCTACGGGGAATGCGGATCGGAGGCCTTTATTCCGGCACGGAAAATAAAGTTCTGCGATGTTAGCAAGTGCGTGGAGCAATGGCTGATAATCGCGCAGAAGAACGTGGACAAACTTGTCCAGGACCTGCAAATGAAGGTTCTCAAGTTCGATAGCTACGGCAAGGACTTCATCAAGAAACAGCGCCTTGGTCCAGATAGCTATATTCAGATGGCATTGCAGTTGGCCTTCTTTAAGTTGCACTCTGAGCCAGCTGCTCAATACGAGTCGGCGCATTTGCGCATCTTCGATGGCGGCAGAACCGAAACCATACGCTCGTGCTCGAATGAATCCCTGGCCTTTTGCCTAGCCATGGATGATGTGAGTTCCCCAGCTGCGGAGAAGGCTGGTAAGATTCGTGAGGCAGTGATGTGCCACCAGATGTATGCCAAGCTGGCTCTTCTGGGAAAGGGAGTCGATCGTCACCTCTTTGGACTTAGACAAATGGCGCTGGAGAACTGCCTACCTGTTCCGGAGTTCTTCGCTTCGCCAGGATATGTGAAGTCCACACACTTTCGAATGTCCACTTCGCAGGTAGCCACCAAATACGATGCTTTCATGGGTTACGGACCCTCTGCAGAAGATGGCTATGCATGTTGCTACAATCCCCGTGAACATGACATCATTTTGGCCATATCCGCATGGCGACGTTGTCAGGCGACTGATCACCAGAAGCTCGCAAAGTTGCTAGCGCAATCCTTTGCTCAGATGAAGGATGTACTCGAAAATTGTCCAGCTTCGACAGATAAGCCGCCCGAGCTGAAGTGCAAATATTGAAAGTGGTTCTCTGGAACATACCTTACATTGTAGTCGATTGCCTTACAAAATATTTAGTTCAGTTGAAAAGATAACCCCCATTACTCTTAAAGTTTTTTAAAAAAATCAATTTTAATACGGATTTGGGTAACATTGGCAAGCACTTAGAACTAAGAGGTATTGATGACAGCTAACTAGATCTGGATGCGGCGAGCAATGAGGAATACTTAGAACTGGTTCGCGGGCAGATAATGATTGCCGATGGGACCGACGCCAGAATTGCCGGCACCGTTCTCCACAAAGTGGCCCTCTGAGTGTAGCTGCTGCTGTTGCGCCTGCTGCTGCTCCTCCTCCTCCTCCTCGGGGGGATCCAAGGAGCCGACCACCGAGGTGATGGGGGCCACTCCCTCGTCGGTGATGGTGGAACTGCCTCCCAAAGTATCGTACTGCGACTGAATCTGCCGCTGGGCATTGAGGGCCTCCTCGGGAGTGCGGTACTTGATGAAGAACACCTCCGGCTTGTTGATCTGCTGTGGCGCCTCGGCAATGGCATCCTGCAGGTCGGCGGCGCTCGTCTTCTTGGCCAGCACATAGACCACGGTCTTCTCTTGCTTCAGCGTTTTGGCCAAGTTGAGAGCCGCCGCGCGGTTGGTCTGGGCAGGCGTCTTGACGAACAGCACATTGTAGTGGTTGCGAGGCTGCTGGGCCAACTGGTTCAGCTCGTCCTGGACCTCGTCCTCGGACTCCTCGGGCGCCGAGTGGATGAAAAAGTTTTTGGTCACAATGGGACGCTTGGGAATCCTCACACGCGGACGGGCGCGGCGCAGCTGCTGGATGGGAGCGGTCTGGAAGTTGACGGGGAAACCGGTGGGCATGGGGAATGATCCGATGGTGGGACGAACGTCAGCTTGTGCAGAATGCACCTGGCCAGCGGGCGGAAGGTAGGGCAGCGGGAGAGGAGGCAGCACCGGATGCGTGGACTGCTGCTGCAGCTGCTGGTTCAACAGGTGCGCCACAATGGGAGGCTGCTGCTGCTGGATGCGGTAGTTGTAACCAACCTTGGTCAAGCTGATGTCAGCCCGGCTGAGGCCCAGGCACATGGCCCCCATCAGAACCGTCTGAAAGATAAGCAATCATTATAATCCCTTGTAATCCATTTGGCTAGAGGTAATCCAATCCGAGGCCAACGCACCACAAATATCTTCATGCTGTCGCTTGGGTGGGTGTCTCTCTGCTGGTTAGCTGTCTTTAGCCGGATGCTCCCTCGCTGTCCGAGTTTCTTAGTGCTGTGATGATGGGTCAACCGGGCACCCGGCCTTTTATACCGATCCACGGCCCCAACTTGTTTACAATCGGAAACAAATCGTGAAACGGCAGCCAACACAGTTGCAACAGTGCAGGGGTCATAAAACATTTGTTATGCGTGGCGAAGAGGTGGTTCGGATTCATCTGGTTGGTGGCAAGTGGGCTTTTGTATTAGCCTTACTCTATGGGCTCCACAAACGTCGAGCGAGAGGAAACCCTAACAATGGGTGATACACATACGACAACAAAATCTGCGATCGTTGTAAACTAGTTAGTCAAGCTGTAACCTTATTATATCGATCATTTGCTTATAAATTCAACCTATTGGATGTGCCTGTTAAATAGATACAGCTTTTTAAACGTTCACCTAAAGTATTATAGTGTGACTTAAGAACAAACGCAATATTGTAAATAAATTATTGAGTTTGTTCTCAGATTTGTCTTACGTAATTTGCGTACCTAGACTTATAAATGAAATCAATTTTATGGGAACTAATCAGTAGCATCTCTATTTCGCATATTCATTTTATAATAAGGCAAAGAAAACATTTCCCAAAAATGTGAAAAGTGAAACTCACTAGTTGATTATTAAATTGATAAAATATAAAATATGTTATGTTTCTGTGGCATTGCAATTGTAGATATATAACAGATATGCATGGTTGCCAAGTGGACAATCGAAGCTCCATTTAAATTAATACAAAAGTATTGTTTATATGTATATAGTATTATTTTTGCAGATCAGTTGAATGTCCCACAGCAATATGTAAATATTGATGACGACGATAGGCGACGAGGTTACTAATCCGACTTAAAATGCACTTTTGTCTACGGGACCATTGTCTCTATATTGTTTTATTGTTCGAAACCCGAGCTATCAAATGGAAATTGAAATCTGTGTATTCGGGGACTTCAGTATTTCGCATCTGTTTTGGTCTGGCCCAAGGTCCAGGTTTTGTGTCCATTCGATGGGCGATTTATTGTCAGCTTGAAATGTGCCAAATTGAAGCAAAATACTCGTATATTTGGAATTGGTTTTCAATCTAAAAAGTGAAGGTAAATAACCCGATAAAATCGAAAGCACAGCTCATCAATTGGATATGCCAACTTCCAGCGGAAATTAGTTGTCATAACAAACAGATGCATACGGAATGAGCTGAGATATAGACCATATAGGGCTAATTGGCAGGCCTATTATTGTTTGGTGAATGTACAAGTGGTGTAATACCGAAGATGAGATAGTAAGGTTCGCTGCTTCCTTTCCAATTCAGACCTAAAAACTTACCGCCTTAGATATATTACAAAATCTTGTGCCGCCGACAGGGTGCATCTCATTAGGTGGGTGAAATTCTGCCCACAAATCAAAATAAACCAGCCAAGGCAACTTGGCCACCAGATAATAAGTTAGCCCACATTTTAACGTTGATGCCAAAAAACTGGTTTCCAACTTTCTCACGCCAATTTCGTGGACCATGAAAAACAGTGAAATGGAACCGCAGCTGTGTTTCCTTTTTTACTCGAATAATTTGTTTATGTGGGTCATTAAAGATGCAAAGATCTGTCAAATAAATATACGATAAGTTTCTGTAATGGGAAACCAAAATTACCTTGTCATTAATTAATAGACCCAAATGCATTAGGATGAAAGTAGCAGCAACAGCAAATCACAAATTTAAATGGAAATGAAATCCAATCGCAGCAGAGCTCTGTGATTAATGGGTGCCAACTATTGCCGCACTTTGCATATTTTATGCAAAATGTATAAGTTGCCAAAATCTATTGAATGCAAAGCACTCGGTGCACAGATTAGTCAAAGCATAAAAGTGAATGTTGACGTTGACGGCTCAGAAATTATGATTTGCGTAACGAAACTATTTTATTTTAATTTATTAATTCACACCATGGCAGGTTTTGACATAGGCTGCCTTTGTCCATTCCTACGCATAGCATTAGCAACCGAGTCCGAACTCAAACTCCGTCCACCTGCGAATCCGTATCCCAAATCCATCACATCGAATTGATTGGGCGATAAATGCCCCTGCGATGCCTACCATCCGCTCATAATAAATGCATTTTTAATTATTGGCCTAAAAATGGTTACATATTAATTATGGGACACCTCGAGCTCACAACTATTTTGGGATGATCACAAAACCACAAAATAAAATGATTATTTCAATAAGCAGGTGGATCAAATCGTGTTTTGTTTCTTCTGCGCTTAAGCTGACAGTTTTACATGGGCCGTTGGACAAATATTGACAAATGATTGAGGCTCGATATCCGACATACCCGAATCCGTTGGTTTCTTATAGGTTTCAAGGTATTTTTGGAAAGATAAAACTTATCCCTTTGACTAGCACCCAATTAAACAATACCAAGCATTTTATTGACAGTAAACTGTAAACTATTCAATTTATTGATTAGACTGGCGCTTTACTCAAAATTAGGTAGATAACTATTCGATCCGGCTTATGCAACACACGTGCTATACGAACTCAATCCATCGGTCTCACAGAAATGGTTGTTAAAATACTTGCTGTGGGCCAAGGCAGTTAATTGGCCCACACACATACACGTAGTACATAGGTCTAGAAAGCGTGGTAATCATAAGAAGTTAAGGGACAAATGCTGTCGAACAAATTGGGTGACTTGGCCCTCTCACAAATTGCAATTCACATTCGGCTATCGAGTTCGATATTAGTGGTTCAACAAGTGTTCAATTAGTTATTCTAGTTGCGTGTATATATATGTTTATAGTACGTTTAGTATATGTTTCAGGCGTAATTTTGTGTTTGTGGGTAATGTGTAAAATGTAAATGTATTGGCGTTACAATGAGTTGCTCTCTTTAGGATCTAATAATCAAACGGCAGAGCAGAGTTTGTCAAGTACAAAAACCCGCCATCCGCTTTGTAAGTTCTCTAAAATATTAATGTTTCCGATACACTCTATATATATATAGTTTTTAATATCACGTTCATCGTTTACACTTTTTGCTTGTTCTGTTACAATGTTTGTTCTGATTTTGCATCTATATCTTCTGATCTCGATTGGAGTATTAAACTACGTAGAGTCGATTTAACAATAGGTATAGATATCTGTATATATATATATTTAATATATAGAGCGAAACAAAGTTACCGACACAGGTGAAATTTTGAAAATTCCAAAAGGGGGTAATCATCCTAAGTGGAAACGCCTTTAATTTAGACAAGACATAGACATTAAACACATTTCCGGCTTCGATTCAGCGTTTTTTCCACCTAAACTACCTTCTCACGGTTCGTGACTTCGGACGAACTTCTCCAGCTGCCTGTGCAACTGATTGTGGTAGGGTATGCGGTGTTTGCTTATCGCTGTGGCCGCCAAACACTGCAGGGTTACGAAGTTGAGCAGTGGAATGGTGCTGGTGGGATTGGAGGCTATTAAGTCGTAGGGCCGCTTGTCAGCGCGATTCGGCTGGTCGATGTCACCTCCACACTTGAGCAAAAGGTGAACAATCTGCGGATAAGAACATATTTCATTGCATTGATCAAGAGCTTGTATGTCCTGACTGATGGCTCTCGTACCTCATTGTCATAGTTGTAGGGCTGGCAGGCCACATGCAGAGGAGTGGATTTGGCTTCGTTCTTTATGTTGACATCGACACCGCACTGGATGAGCAGCTTGATGACTTCCGCATTAGGGAACACAGTCTTCTACGGAAGATAGAGGCAGTTAGAAAAGAATGCCAAATGATAAATGGAACTGTAGACGCACATCGGCAAAGTTGTCATCAGTGATGTAGCCGCTCTTAATTACATTTAGCCGCGAGGCGCAGAGATGAAGCATGGTGTCGGCGGTGCTGGCACTCCGCAAGTTTCCCACCACCACCGCTTCGTGGACCGCCTGGCAGATGAGCTTGTTCTGCGCCTCCGTGTGGACGGTATTGATCAGCAAATAGATAAGGTGGGCCAAACACCTCATCACCCGGTCGTAGTTCTCCTGCTGTCTCCTGAAAACAGGCCTTAAGAGCAGCAGGTGCTTCACCACAATGGCGCTCTCCGACAGTGTTCGAAATACACCGAGCACATCCTCGAACCTGGGCAACACTTTATCCTGATGGACAAACCTTGCTCTTGCATCGCTCCTTATATGACTGGAGTTCTGGACATGCAAGTCCAGCATCAACCGCACCAGCGCCTGTGCCGCAAAACAAGTTTCAAAATGCAGGATAGACCAGTTGGACACGCGCACTTCGAGCAGGAAGCGCCACAAATCAATGCAGCGTTGCAGCTGGAGTGAGTCCGCATACGAAGCACCCCTGAATTAAGATATTTAAAGTTGGGAGCTTAAGGAAAAGTAATTGATTTGTAATCACCTAAAAGTTAAGCGAAACAGCATATCCTTATGGGTCAGTCCCAGAACACGCTCGCATATGAGTAGGCTCTGGGTCCGCATTGCATCCATATCGGTGGCAATGTTATCCAGCTCCTCTAGCGTACTAAACTCCACTGCGTTCTCGTAGGCAGTGCGCAGAGGAACCTGCGGTTTTTTCTCTATATACGGAGGATAAGCTGCCCGTATGTGATGCGCCAGGCGCCAGTGCAGGATGCACACCCTCGACTCGTTGTGCTCATCAAGGAACGTCGATCCCATCAGCTCGTGGGCCTCTGCCAACCTTGCAGGCGTGTAATGCAACTCTTTTTTCAAGAAGTCGAAGATCTGATGTGCTCCCTTAAGGCAGGCAGTTCGAAGGGCATCGTCACCGTACCGACTCTTGGCATATGGGTCTGCGCCTTGCTCAATCAACATTTTCGTGGTATCCAGACGGTGCTCCTGGATTGCGTAGTGGAGCGCCGTCTTGTCCTGAATGTCCCTCGCGTTTATGTCAGCCCCCTTGCGCACCAGATACAAGCACAACTGCACCGACTGCACCGAGTTAATCAGGCAGGTGCCGCCATTGATGTTGGGTCGCTTGATGTCAGCACCGTTCTCAACCAGGAACTTGACTGCAAGTTTAAATAGAACAGATTGGTAATATACGAGCAATTTCATTAGTATTCCTGTTAACTTTGATGCTCTCACCGATATCAATGTGGGTCATGTAGCAGGCACTTCGCACCGGCGTCGATCCCGAATCGGAGGTGGCATTAATGTCGCAACCGATGCGTACCAGGTACTTGACCATGGACAGCTTCCCAGAAACGACGGCCGCCCAAAGAGGCGATACATAGTGAAAGCTATTATCCTCGGGCACCTCGAAGTGGCCCCTCTGCTCGATGTCCGCCTCGCAAATGGTGATCAGATACTCGGCGATGTCCACGGCACCTCGTTTGCAGGCGATGAAGAGGGGGGCGCAGCCATTGCGCTGCTTTCGCACCAGCTCGCGACGAGAATCGCGGCACAGCCTGAAAACAAACAACACATCGATGTAAATATACTTTAAAATTATTATTTTTCGAATATTTCCGAGTTTTTTCCTGTGCAAGGTAGGGTAGAGAATCGGAAGCTCTTGATCAGCACGTGCAGGGGCAATGATTTTGTAAGCATTTGTTGATAAGATCGTGCGTTCGAGGACGTTAACACATACTGAAAGCAGTAGCGAATTCACACAATTAAATTTAGCTAGCTATTTGTGATTACAGGAAATATTTGGCTGATTACAAAAACCTTTAAACGGAACGAAGTTATTATACAGAGGTATCAACAATCAACAAAACATTCATTAACCAATATAATATAATATAATATCTGCTTAATGAGGCAATACAATTTCTAAAATGATTATAACATGTATTATACGCAGTATTCGCAAGTCTATACCATAACTGTCGAGAGATTGATTCATGACGTGCTTTGTATTGAAGAAGGTGGCTTCCCTATAATTTTAATACTTGATTTATCAGTAAAGTCAGGCGATTCGATTAGTTCCATTTGTCCGTCTGTTTTTTTTAATATGGGTGCTTAGAAGCAATCAAAACAACACTGCCCAAAATCAATTTGTAGATAAGCTTTAAAAAAATATATATCTGTATTTCCTATCGATTAAGAAATTATTGTTCTTCAATTCGTTTTATCTCAGCAGAATGAATTATTAAATAGTATCTTATTATGAAAGAGTTCGTACAAGGAAACATCGTCGAGGGACGAAAAGGCAGATGGTGTCCTTGTAAATAATTTATTATCAGATTCATCGGAATCGCGTCATGTTGGTAATGTGGTTGCTTTGGAATAGCAAATAGTTTAGAAGTGATTATATCAACTGTATGCTTATTAAATGGCACCAAAACGGTATAAATACTTCACTGCAGACACTATTATTGATTTGGGAAAACTTTCAGCACAAAATTGGTCATTGGTATTAGCTAATTGAAGTGCACAATGGTGTGGAATGTGACACAGAACCAATTAAAGGGCTAGTTCATTACGAAACGCTCTTTTCATGGGAGCCAATTACAGGGACATACTTTTCCAGTTCGTGGCGCAGGTGGCGCGACAGCAAGGAGTCCTCCTGGCTGCGCTTGACCTCCTCGATCAGCTCGTGACTGAGCTTTGTTAGCTCCACCTTGGGACCGCTCTGCTTGCGTTCGTTGGCCATCGATGGCCGTGGGACTGGCTGCTCCTGCTCCTGGCGGGTATTGCGCTCCTGATCCTGATCCTTGGCTTCCAGCACCAGCTGCAGCTGCTCGACCTGTCGACGGCTGCCTTCAAGTGAGCGCATTGCCAGCGCACCGTCTCATTGCCAATTGATGGGTGGCTGGCTCTATATCCTTTGCAGTGGGTGTGGACGGGTGGGTGGTGGGTGGTGTATGGTTTATGGCCTCCTCCCAGATGTCCTTGGGCCACTGCCCCCTTGCAAAAACGGTGCGGCAGTGACCTACTGAACCCACCAGCCTGGGCTACTTCTACTTAATTGGGTTGCCTCTCGCTGCTCCCGTTTTTCAGCCCAAGGCCGTCCGAGCACTTTCTTTTTCTCTCTGTATCTCCGCTTGGTTGCCTTTCCTTCTTTTCTTCGAATCAATTTCTATGCAGCGTGAAACTTAGGTGCATAATCTTTGGAGTTCCGGAGGCGATACTCGCAGTTCGCAATTGCAAAATTCAAAACAACAACAACGTGGGCGGTGTGTGTTCGTGTTGGTGTCTGGATCACGGTTTATACCATGTTTTCCCGTGTTTTCTGTTTATAAATAAAAGTCAGCAAAAATCTTAACGTCGAAACAGTGTGTACACAAGTGGGGGATGACAATAACTGAAACAGCTGCTGTAACAGACGACTGTTGGAACATAACAGAGGGTGACAGTGCTGCCACACCTAGCCCACCAAAGGGCTGGCGCTCATTTTACATGGAAGCCCGTAAGAAACTTATACAATGGAACGTAAGAGCATTTTAGCATCTCCATCCGCACCTTAAAGGAAGCCAAAACATTCTTTAAAATATATCATATGGATAGGTTTACTCGGATATCGATAACAACAGGGCTACGAGCTATCGCTATTTTCAGACTTGTGGCAACCCTGTTTTCAAAGGCGCAGCAACAACGACGCGCTGTTTGCAACAAAGAATCCAATTTCAGAATTTCTGTTTAGAGTTGTTGAATAATAGGAAATGGAGTCGCCAGCGGTGAACGAAGTTGCAGCCGGCTTGGGCGGTGAGAAACTGGAGGTGTTTCGCAAGCTGAATCTCCTGGAACAGCATCGCGTGGAGAGCTACAAGAGTTGGCCCTTCCCAGAAACGGCATCCTGCAGCATTTCGAAGGTACGGAAGTCCCTGAAATGTTTAAAATACCCGAATGACAGTCTATGATAACTAATCCACAGATGGCCGAAGCGGGGTTCTACTGGACGGGCACCAAGCGGGAAAATGACACCGCCAGCTGCTTTGTCTGCGGGAAAACCCTCGATGGCTGGGAACCCGAGGACGATCCATGGAAGGAGCACATCAAGCATGCACCCCAATGCGAGTTCGCGAAGCTGTCCTGTCCCGAAAGGGATCTAACCGTACGTTCCTAATGCCTAACCTGGCATCTTATACTTATATCTTAAACTTGTAGGTGTCACAATTTCTCGAAATTCTTGGAACCGTCGTCAAAGGCAGCATAGAGAAAACCTGCAAGGGCTTCAAATCGAGCTTCGTGAGGGAAAACGAGGAGCGTCTGGATGAGTTTACGCATAATCAAAAGTAGAGCGCTAATTTTGTAAACCCTAAATATATACCTAAATAACCTACTATTTATCAAGATTGTCAATAAACCGCAATGTTAGTCCCATTCAATGTACCAAAACTCGTGTACACATGTATAGCAGTAGACTAAGCTCGAATATGCAGCAAATTCTGAAAGTCTTTAAATGCAAACAAGTCTGCCTCGTATTTGATCCCAAAACATCCCTGCTGCACGGTCATACTGAACAGCTGATAAGAGCCAACAAAGCATTCGTTATGCTGAAGCGCAAGTTGAATCAGCAGAAGGACAGTCTGGAGGATGGGGAGCCCACGAAGTCTGCGCCCAGGCAGGATAGTACATCCGATTTCTTCGCTGAGCCGCTGTGGCAGAAATTCTATGAGACCGAAGTCAGGTTGAATGAGGCGCTGGACAAATTGGCTGCTCCTGCAAGCACCCCGTTCATCTATAACCCGATAGTGTATGCGTCCCAGCTGCACCGCGACTACTTGCGTCTTTATATGGACGGTCCCAAGAAGCTGGTATTTGTTGGGATGAATCCGGGACCCAATGGAATGGCCCAAACCGGAGTAAGAGCACATTCCTGCAGACTATCCGATCGCATTGACACATTGTCGCGCTCCGCAGATTCCCTTTGGCAATGTGCGCACGGTAAAGGTGTCAATGCAGCTGGCAGGACCGGTGGACCAACCTCCTGCCGTGCACCCCAAACGTCCTGTCACTGGCTTGGATTGTCGGATCGAGGAGCCCAGTGGCGTGCGTCTGTGGGAACTATTCCTCCGATTGGCAGGCAGCATGCAGATCTTCTCCCGGCAATGCTTCGTCCACAATTTCTGTCCGCTGGCGTTTTTCGGCGCAGACGGCAAGAACATAACACCCAGTGAACTTACTGGGCCCTACAAAAAGCAGCTTAGAGATCTGTGCTTGGAAACCCTGGAGGAGCAACTGGAGCTGCTTAAGCCCCATGTCATTGTGGCTGTGGGGGAGTACGTCCTCAGTGCACTGAAGCGTTTGGCATACGGCAAATCTCACTCCGTTCTAGTGCTCCGACTGCCGCATCCGAGTCCGCGGTCCGCCAATAACACCAAGTGGCCCGAAAAGGCGCAAGCGTTTTTGGAGGAGAACAACCTAATCCGATTCATGCGGAATGAATCCTGAGTTTGCAAATTTGCAACTCCTTAGACTCAGAAAACAAATTACAAACTTTTCAAATTCCTTATTAGATATACATATGTATGTATGTATGCATATGGAAATTACTGCGTAGTTTATAACGTGATCTCTGTAAGAGAAAATCAAAAGAGAAAAATGAATCATTTATTTTCAGCATTAAATTATTTAGCATAGCTAGTGAAAACTGTGAAATAGTATTCTCCATTTTATTTTGAAACACTTATCTCAAGTTTTTAATTATTTGGGTAATACCCCAAATACAAAGCGTGATTTCACCTTCTCTACGTGACCGCTGTTGAAGTGACCGTTCACCGTGATCGCCAGCTGTTGCGCAGTGCTGGAAAGCGCCGCCAGAGTGAGAGTTACCCATTGTTTTTGTTGACCTGGTCATTTCATCTCATCTGCGTGCGGCTTTTCACCCAGTTTGCCCGAGTCTATTTCCATGCCAAATGGCCGCCTTCATGGAGGAAGCGTTAGTGGAGGCGAGGCGGGCACGTGACGCCGGCGAGGTGCCCGTGGGCTGTGTGTTCGTTCATGGGGGCAAGGTGGTCGCACGTGGCGGGAACGAGGTGAACGTCCACCGGAACGCCACTCGCCACGCGGAGTTCATTTGCATCGACGCGATCCTCGCCAGCTGCCGCGAGCGCCGACTGCCGGCCCGCCAGCTGTTCAGCGAGATCACTGTTGTGGTCACCGTGGAGCCCTGCATCATGTGCTCCGCCGCTCTGCACACACTGGGCGTCAAGGAGATCATCTACGGCTGCGAGAACGACCGCTTTGGAGGAAAGACGGTAGTCGACGTGGCCGCCGTCGTCGGCCAAAGGATCGAGATCACAGGCGGTGTGCGGGCGGATGAGGCGATGGCTCTGCTAAAGGATTTCTACAAGGGCGACAATCCGGCGGCACCGCCACAGGCCAAGAAGAAGAAGTAGGAGCAGCTGGTGGGGCCAACAGCTTTCGTGGAGAAGGGGTAAGTATAAACGTAAAGAATTTGCCAGCGAGAACGATACATTTTTTGTTTTTTAGGGGCATGCATGGAGTCAACCACTGAAGGAAGCTATTACAGTCATTGAAATAATTTAAAATTATGATAAAATTATAGAAGAATAGTAGAATGCGAAACTCCACATTTTCGGAAATTCCAACCACTTCCAGCGGTTAAACTCCGGAATTCAGCAGATTCATTATTTACAAGGGAACAAGCCAATCAACGTATTTATTTTACAGAAGAAAAAGTATTCCGTCGAAAGTATCCTGAAATAGAGAACGGATTTAAAAACACTCAAGCAATAGAGAAACTACAATCCCATGATGAAATTGCCTCAATCATCTGCATCCTGGAGGAATATATTCGAAGTAAAATAAGTACCACTGCATCATTCTTCGACGATTTCTGTATATGATCCAATTTATTATAATCTTTAAGCATAGTCTAAGATATTTTGTATATGGCGTTCAGAACGTATGTTTTAACTCTAAACATAAATACAATTACTGCATAAAAGCTACAACATTTACGTGTGTGTAGTGAAGGCTGTGCCTGTTTCCACTATAGGAAGACTACTCAAAACCTTTTGTTTCCTTTCCAAATGCGTAAAATGCAGTCTCGCAGTCCGACACCAAGAATCTAGTTTACCCTCCAACAATCGAAGCAATATATTATTAAAACATATAATTGTATTATAGGCTAACTCTAAAAATGTATACTTTTTTAAGTTCCCATTTATAGATGTGTATTTGTCGGAGGGCTGCACCCGTGCTTAACCTAAAGTAATTTCCCTACGTCCTAAGCTAACTCTTCTGTTCGATCGTTTGCTGTGCCAGCTTATTACCTCGACCGCAATCAGCTAGTTAAACTGGCCATCAAGCACAAACAACTGGCGCAGCAAACAAACAATGGCGGGCGACTAAGTGAATCTAGACTAAATCTAATTAAATGCGCATGCTGCGGCGTCTATGGCCAATGTTGAGCCACTCCAGCGGCACGTTTCCGCCCACATTGTAGGTGGTGGGACTGCAGTTGAGCAGCTTGCGGGCGGGCTCGCATCGCCGGCTCACGTTCCAATAGGCGAATCCCTGCGGACAGCGGTGGATCTGGCCCTCGATGCGACCCGTCAGCTCCGAGAATCCGCACTTGACGAACAGCTGGCCGCACTGGTCGTTGTTGAGCGCAAAGTGACCCTCATCCGGGCAGAGAGGATCCGTCGTGCTGATTTGTACCTGATGACGGTGAACAATTAATGACATTATTTTGTATGGAATGACTACACTGCACAATTACTTACCACATTCTGAAGCCTCGTTTCCTCTTCGAACAAGTTGGTGGTCCTCTTCATATCCTTGGAACACTTGTCGCCTGCCGGCGGCTTGCCACAGCTGCAGGACTTGTCTTGGTAGACGGTTCCATTGGGGCATTGGAACACCACGATGTTAAGGTCGTTGCTATCGGCGCTTTCACTGCACTGGTAGAACATGCCGCACTTCTCCGGATGCCGACGGAATCCAGTGGGGCAGACGTACACATTCTGTCCTGGACCGGTTTCGGGACAAGGAGCGGAGGCGTTGGTACCGGGCGCAGGATTCTCTGTGGTGGTGGTGGACTGCGTCGTTGAGGTTTCCTCCCCAGTTATGGTCGTGGTTTCTGGCTTGGGTGATGTGGTAGTGGTCTCCGGTGTTGCTGTGGTGGTGGTTGCGCCGGAAGTAGTGGTTTCTGTGCTCCCGGAAGTTGTGGTTTCGGGGGCTACTGCGGTGGTGGTTTCAGGAGATGATGTGGTGGTGGTCTCAGGAGCTGATGTGGTGGTGGTTTCGGGAGCTCTCGACGTGGTGGTTTCAGGGGCCTTCGAGGTGGTTTCAGGTGTTCCAGAGCTGGTCGTACTCTCCGTCGTACCAGGCTCCGTGGTAGTTCCCGGCGTGGTCGTCTGTCCAGATGAGCAATTGCCAGACACCTGGTCGGCGTAATTGCAGGTTTCGGTGGACGTGTCCCAAACAGTTCCCTTACCGCACTTGAAGGCATAAACCTGATACTTGCCGTTTTTGGCCGCATCTACGCAGCGGTAATAGCGACTGCAGTCTTCGGGATCTGGGAAGAATCCTTCCGAGGAGCAGTTATAGTTAGGCTGTGGTTCCGGCTGAAGAGTGGTCACTGAACCTTCGGAAGTGGTGGATTCTGGACCCTCCGTGGTTGTAGTGGGTTCAGGTTTGGCTGAGGTTGTGGGCTCTTCAATGGCGTTGGTGGTTGTAGGAGGTAGTGTGGTCGTGGTAATAGGTTCGCCGGTGGTAGTTGGCTTGTAGCCCGGAGTAGAGGTGGTAGTTTCTACCGGAACAGGCGTTGTTGTTGGGTTGTAGCCCGGAACAGAGGTTGTTGTTGGATTGTAGCCCGGAATTCCTGTGGTGGTGGGCTCTTGAGTGGTCGGCTTCTGAGGATATTCGGTAGTAGTTGGTTTCTGGGGCTGCTCTGTGGTGGTCGGCTTCTGAGGATATTCGGTAGTAGTCGGTTTCTGGGGCTTCTCTGGTGTGGTAGTTGGCTTTTCCGGATATTCAGTCGTCGGCTTTTGTGGTATTTCTGTAGACGGTTCTTCGGTGGGCTTTGTGATGGGCTTTGTCACTGTGGTGGGCTCATCCGTTGACTGCGGAGTGGTGCTTCCGGGATCCTTGGACTCTTCACTTGGTGTGGTAGTGATTGGTTCAGCGGGTAACTTCGAGCACCTCGGAATATTCTCCATGTAGTCACAGGTCTGAACTTCTTCATTCCATCCCGTACCCTTGGGGCACGTAAAAGTGTACTTTCTGTAGGAGGCTCCAGCGTTGATGCATCGGTAGTATTTCCTGCAATCTTCGGGATCGGCCATGTAACCCTCACCTGTGCATTCCGTGCCCGCTGGTAGGGGCTTCATAGTGGTTGTAGACGGTGGTTGCGTGGTGTTCTCCGGGCTCGAAGTAACCGTTGAAGTGTCTGTTTCCGAACTGATTGTTGTTGTAGTGGGTGGCGCTCCAGTTGTTGTAGTGGGGGGAACCCCAGTTGTTGTAGTGGGAGGCAAAGTAGTTGTTGTAGTGGGAGGCAATCCAGTTGTTGTAGTAGGAGGTAAGTCCGTGGTTGTAGTAGGAGGTAAGTCTGTGGTTGTAGTAGGAGGCAATCCAGTGGTTGTAGTAGGGGGCAATCCAGTGGTTGTAGTAGGAGGCAATCCAGTTGTTGTCGTTGTGGGTGGAGGTGTGGAGGCTGAGGTTGTTCCATTTGTTGCTGGCTCACAAGGCGGTTTGGAAGTGGTGCTTTCAGTGCCAGTATTGCAATTGTGGAAATTGTGGTTGCAGGTCTGCAGATCCTGGTCCCAAACGGTGCCAGCTCCACATTGGAATGGAACTGGAGTAAAGCCACCTTTGTTGTTCCTAACACAACGGTAGAATTTGGAGCAGTTGCTGGGATCGGCCATAAAGCCCTCCGACCTACACTTGCCATCCGTATTGGGCAACTGGGTGACAGGAGATGTTGTTTGAGTGGGTGAAGCTGTGGATGGAGAAGAAGTGGTTGGTCTGGCAGTTACTGGACGTGGGGTAGTGGGCGGACCTGAAGGTCTCGATGTAGACGATGGGGCAGAAGGGCTGGAAGTGCTTGCGGTTGTTGGCCTGGAGGTCGTAGGTGGAGCAATTCCACCGCATTCCTTTACTGCCCACGCATGGTTACAGGCCTGCAGTTGGGCATCCCAAACAGTGCCAGGACCGCAGCTGAAGGCTACCATATTGAAGCCGCCTCTGTCATTGTCGACGCAGCGATAGAACTTGGCACAATCCGATCGATCGCCTATAAATTGTCCATTAACCTTGCAGGTCTCGGAAGGATTTGGTTTTGCTGAAGTCGAGCTGCTGCTGGAGGAGGACGAGCTGGAGGACGTTGAGGATGAACCTTGATTATTGTTATTGCTTGATGATGATGAAGACGATGATGATGATGACGAGGATGTCGATCCATTTCCAGACGAGCTCGAACCAGAAGAGGAGCCACTATTGGAGGAGGAGCCTTGATTCGATGAGCCACCGCTGGAAGAAGCGCCACTGTTCGAGGATGAGCCTGTATTGGAGGAGGAGCCACTGCTGGAGGATGAACTGGAAGATGACCCGCTGTTCGAAGAGGAACTACTCGAGGAGCTGCTGGTGCTGTTAGAGGAACTTCCCCCTTGATTCACCACCTTTTTGCATTTAAGCGGCTTGGTCTGGATCTGGTCAGGATGGTTGCAGCTGTTGGCCTCAGGATCCCATAGAGTGTTTGGTGGGCAGGTGAATGATACTTTCGTATAACCACCCTTACCATTATCCACGCATCGATAAAACTTGGAGCAGTTCTCGTTGTCAGCCAGGAAAGTTTCCTCACTTTCACATTTCTCTGCCGGCTTGAAAGGTTTTTGTGTAGTGGATGATGTCTGGTTAGACGACGACGATTGATTGGAGGAGGATTGATTCGAGGATGACTGGTTGGACGAAGAACCTTGATTGGAGGATGATCCCTGATTTGAGGACGATCCCTGATTTGAAGATGATCCTTGGTTGGAAGAAGATCCCTGGTTAGAGGAAGATCCCTGGTTCGATGACGATCCCTGGTTAGAAGAGGAACCCTGATTGGAAGATGAGCCTTGGCTGGAGGAAGATCCCTGGTTCGATGATGATCCCTGGTTAGAAGAGGAACCCTGATTGGATGATGATCCTTGGTTCGAAGATGATCCCTGGTTGGAGGATGATCCCTGGTTCGAAGAAGATCCCTGGTTGGAAGACGATCCCTGGTTGGAAGACGATCCCTGGTTGGATGATGATCCCTGGTTGGAGGATGATCCCTGGTTCGAAGAAGATCCCTGGTTGGAGGATGATCCCTGGTTCGAAGAAGATCCCTGGTTGGAGGATGATCCCTGGTTCGAAGAAGATCCCTGGTTGGAAGACGATCCCTGGTTGGAAGACGATCCCTGGTTGGATGATGATCCCTGGTTGGAGGATGATCCCTGGTTCGCAGAAGATCCCTGGTTAGAGGATGACCCCTGGTTAGAAGATGGTCCCTGGTTGGATGATGATCCCTGGTTGGAGGATGACCCCTGGTTGGATGAAGAGCCCTGGCTTGATGAGGATCCACTACCATTGGCCATAACCTTGCATTGCTCCTTTTGCACATCCGTAGGATGGTTGCATCCCTTCGTATCAGGATCCCAGACCGTTCCAGGGGAGCAATCGAACGGAACTTTGTTGAAGCCACCGCTGCCATTCTCTACGCAGCGATAGAATCGGGCACAGTCTTTCTTATCAGCCAAATATGTTTCCGTATCCTGGCAATCACCATCGGGATTGGATGGCTTTGTTTGGGTGCTCGTAGAGTTATTGCTTGTGCTTGAGGAGCTCTGGTTGCTAGATGTGGATGAAGATGAGCCTTGATTGGAAGACTGATTGTTCGATGATCCTTGGCTGCTTCCCTGATTGGATGATTGGTTGCTGGATGAGCCTTGATTGCTAGACGATCCTTGATTGCTGGATGAGCTCTGGTTGCTGGACGATTGATTGCCAGATTGATTGCTTGACGAGCCTTGATTGCTGGATGAGCTCTGGTTGCTGGAAGATTGATTGCCAGATGAGCCTTGATTGCTCGATGAGCTCTGGTTGCCTGAGGATTGATTGTTGGAAGAGCCTTGGTTGTTGGAGGAGCTTCCACTAGATTGCTGTCCAGAGTTGTTACTTCCACTCGACGAGCCTGATTGAATGTTGCATTTCTTCTTTTGATCCTCAGTGGGCAGATCGCAGACCTTATCCACTTGGTTCCAAACGGTACCGGGACCACAGGTGAAAGGCACTTGCTCCAATTTTCCGTCCTTATCCTTGCGGCACCTGTAGAACTTAGCACAGTCTTCTTTATCAGGGATATAAGTGTTTTCATCCTCGCACTCGGTGGGCACGGGCTTATTGGAGCCACTGGTGTTCTGGCTGCTTGAAGAACTCTGATTGGAAGATTGATTGTTGTTGGAACTCTGATTGCCGGAGGACTGATTGCTCTGATTGTTGCTGGAGCTTTGATTGTTGCTAGAGGATTGGTTGCTGCCCGAGTTTTGGCTGCTGCTGGAGCTTTGGTTGCTGCCAGAATTTTGAGAGCTTTGGTTCTGGTTGTTGCTGGAGCTCTGGTTACTGTTGGAGGATTGGCTACTTCCCGAACTTTGGTTTTGGTTGCTGCTGCCAGCGTTTTGCGAGCTTGAGCCTTGATTGCTGCCGGAAGTCGTGCTAGATTCCTGATTGTTGCTAGATCCCGAGCTAGACTCCTGGTTGTTGCTGGATTCCGAACTGGACTCCTGGTTGTTGCTGGATTCCGAACTGGACTCCTGATTGTTGCTAGACGTGGAGCTCGACTGATGACTGCTGCTGGACGTAGAGGACTCTTGGCTTGAGCTGGAGTTGGATGTCGAACTGGATGTGGAACTGGAGCTCTGAGAGGAGTTCGAGGAACTGGTGGCGGAGGAAGAGCTCTGCTGGCTGCTGGCGGTAGAGTTCTGGTAACTGGTCTGCGACGACTGTGTTGACGTTTGGCCGGCATAATAACCATCGTTCAGTGGAGCAGGCTGATTGCGGCATCCTCCGTTGGCACGTACGTCAAACATATGGTTGCAGGACTGAAGGGACTCGTCCCAGGCCGTGCCATCTGAGCACCGGAAGCCGATTTTGTTATAGCCTCGGCCGTTCGAGATGCAGCGATAAAACACGGTGCAGTCGCTGGGATCGGTCATGAAGCCATCATCCCGGCACATTATGCCATCCGCGTCCGCTGATCCAACGGCGCGCAGGGATGAGGAGCTGGAGAAGGATATGACAGAGACGCCGTTGAGACCAGCCAGACCGTAATTTGTGGGCAGCCGGTGGGTCGACGCATATGTTCGCAACTCATTGGCCGCAGGTGTGACGGCCAGGTTAAGCATCGCATTGCGGTCATCCTGTCCGTAGTCGTCCTGCTCCCACTTCTCCATGCTGCCGCCGTCCACCTCGTTCACCTGGTCAATGCACTCATCCCGCCCAGCCATTGCTGGTGGCAGACACATGCGCAGGGTGCGCGAGAAGACCGCGTCCTCTGGACAGGCCAGGAGGTAGGGTTGGATGTACTGCCCCGAACGCCGCTCGCAGCGGTAATAAATCCGGCAATCGTAGTCGTCCGCAAACAGACCTTCTCCAGGGCAGTAGAAGGCCACGTCTGCCAGGTCCATCGGCGATGGAATGTCTGCAAGGAACACAGATGCGACGGTTTTAGTTTTTGGGATCTTAAAACATGGTGTTTTAAAACAGGAAACACGTCCTAAAACGGCCTATGCGCTTTTAGAGCTGAAGGAGATCAAAATAGTAAGTTTGTTATTTCAAACCCTAGATGACAGAGAGGATTCATTGGATTTCAAATTGAGACATTAAACGAATCGATTTGACACCTTCAATGATACGAGTACAAACACATTGAATTGAATAAACCTTCATTTGCTTTCAATGAACTATTTTGTGGAGTGAAAAATGCACTCTGCTCCTTGCTGCAATTTGTTTTCGAAACGAAGAGTATCAATCTGCAAATTAGCATACTTTTTTTTTTTAATATATATGGCCAGGCAATTTGAAATCGCCCGCTGGAACAAACCATTGAACTGAAACTTCCTGTCACAAATTCCGTCGGCTGCATATATTACATACTCGTATATATATGTTTATATAGATATATAACTTGTATGACACAGCTATCTACATATATTTTGCTCAATTTCGTTTGACATTTTCCGCGCTCGTCTTTCGTTTTTCGTTGCGGGATTTTTCGCGCTGTCAAAATAAAATTGATAATTTATTGTCATTCAATGTGCGAGAGTCCTCTTTTTCAATTTTATGTGTCGTTCCTGTTGTTGTTGTTGTTGTTTGGTGGTGGCATACGCAGACTTTGCCTTCCAATAAATTTAAATGCATTTATGGCCGTTACAGCGGAACAAATTCATTTTGAAAATGAATTGTGAGTATGTGTTTTTCCTTCTACAAGTTTTTTTCGGGATTTTTCCAGCTCTTTTTCAAGTGTTTGGTAATAAAGAAGGCCAGCGGGCTGCGAACATTGTAAATGCGCGGCTAAAAATTAGAGCGGCTCTAGGCATAAATTCCCATCAGTCAGTGCCTAATATATTTGATTTCCTTTCCTTCCCTGCCTGCCTGCGATTATCAGAGTGTGTGAGCCATTGGCCAATGCTTTATGGCTAGAATGGTCGGAGGCCATATATTTCTTATGAAAATTGCCAAATTTAATGGCCATAAAATTTAATTATAGCAAATGTGGTTTGGCAGCAAGGACGAGCATATTTCTTGGGGGAGAATTTTGTCAAATTGATGAAACATTCCGTGTTAGGTGGTGAGCAGAAAAGGTTGCACAAATTCGTTGGAAAATTAATTTGAAGCAAATTGATTGGTAAGAACTATCTGGTCAGTGTCAATACAAATGAAATGTGAGGTATGTTTTTATGGAATCGAATTATAGAAAAATCAACGGAATACCAATCTAATTACTTTTGTAGTTGTCATATCTTAATGGTAATATTTAATGTAACCAAATCTTCAAATCACTTTCAGGAAGTATTTAAATAATTAAGTTGCTCCTAATTCCTTATGACCCCCAGTATTTACACGCCCATTTGCAACATTGGTAAAGCGCTTAAATTTTACATCTAACCTTTTGCCCGACTGCAGCCGAAAATCCAGCAAACTAATTTAATAGAACGCCTCACAGCACACGGCTCTTGGTCCGCTGCCCCCTCGGCAAACAAACATAAAGTTTCAATTTGTACACGAAAGCCCAAAAATGCTAAACCCATTACCCAGATGGCGGCGAAGGATGGAGCATGGATGGAGCATGGAGCCTGGAGAACGGAGAATGGAGCGATGAAGATGTGTGTGCCACCAAGGATCTGATGCCCCGTACTCCGTCCTCCAGCGTTGAGGGAAAATTGACCGTTTTACGATTTTAATTATATATGATGTGTACTTTGGAACTTATGCAAAATGAAACGAAGGAAGCGGGCGCGGCAATGCGACCGCAAAGTTGTGCGTACCACCACGCCGGAAACCCCGCTGCCCACATCTATACATATTAATATTAAAGCATACATATGTATGCCGTATACAGTAGTCCCTGGCATCTGCCAACCGGGAGCAGGCGTAACATGGTTAGCCACAATCTGACCGCAGAACATGGCCGCAAATAGTTTCGGATATGCCATTGCCACGCACCACCCAAAAACACCCATTAAGCCGCCCAAAAACAGGCACCCCTCCCCGCTCCCATACTCTGCATGGAATGCCCCTCGCATTAAAATTTCAATTTTCAACATTTAAGCACGTTACGGTTTACGAAAATTTAGTTATAGTTATAAAAGCATGCATAGGTACGCGTTCTGAACTGAATTCGCCCCTCTCGCCTTTCCTTTTTTGTCCTTTTTTGCCCAGTGTAGGCATAATTTCCATGGGCCAGCCAGCTGGTGAAAATGACAAAAAGCGATGCCCATTTTTCACTTGATTTTTCCTCGGTAATTAAATATTTAGTGCGCGGTTTTACGCCTCCATCCACGACTAACTGCCATTGAGTTTGCCTCGCTGATCAGCAATGCTGGCAATTCCATTTTCATTTGATAAATTGGAGGCTTCCAAGTAACCAACTGTAGTCATACTTTTAATAGTTGATTGTCAACTGGGGCCGTTTGAGCGTACATTGTCGCTTTGGGCTGTTTCGTGGTCGTGTGTATTTGTTGCAAGAAGTCGCAATGGTCCTTTAAATTAAATTAGTCATTAAAAGTTTGGTCATTATATTCAGGGCCGGATGCTGCGGCCTTGTTTTGATACCACTGCCGCAGGGGTTTTGCATTTTAACTGACTTGGATATGGACTAAAGGTGTAAGCAAGGGAGTTGCTAATAATAAAAAATAATAATAATAACTATAATATAACTAATAACAATAATAAGGTACACATAGCTTTTTGTTTGATCGTAGAAGTCTTTGTTTAACACTAACAGCCCTATTTATTTATTCATGTATTTGATGATATATTTGTTTAGGGCTAAATTTGTTTTCTCAGCATGTGTTCTTTAGGGCCAGTTCCCCACTGTGGATGTACTTATGGTTACATAGCACAGCTTACCAACTGGCTAAATGATTTTACTGACATGATTCCATTACTTACTATGGCTTAGAGAGTGCCATAAAAAGGGGTAATTCGAATGTCAGTTAGCAGTCTGACATTAGAAGCTTGTCGCATCCTCTAATATCCTTAACTCCATGTCTGTTTTCTCCATCTGCTCCATCGCTATCGCCGTCCCACTCCATCTGGAAACTCCCGAGGGCTTTGTAGTTGCAAGTTGTAAATATGATATTTGGATTTTTGAGCTCTCGCCCATCGTCGAGCTGGCAACTCGGTAATTTCATTTGCCTCTGGTGGCATTTTACGCCTGTGCCTCCGTGGTGAAACGAGCGAGTGGACGTACGTGTTGGCCGGATAGTCCGGATAGTCCGGATTCCGGAATAGGGATATAGTGGAGAGCCGTATTTTCATTTCAAGTACATGTTTATGCCACGCCCATTTCATTCAGTTCCGCCTGCTCCGCTCAAATTTCATGGTGGCAAATGACCAGCTACAGGAAATTCAATTTATTATGCAGCCTGACAGTTTTTAGCCATTCTCTCTCTAAGATGACAGCTTTTTCTACTGCTCCAGCTAATGCACTGCGAACAAATCTATTCGAAGTATTTGGTATGGAAACTTAACAAGCTAATTAAATACTGCTGTATTCTAAGTCCAATCTACTTTTTAAAAATGTTAGTCTCATTATTTTGCATCGGTTTTGGGCAAACACTTAATAGCTATAAATGTAATCGAGTTTTTTCTCAGTGCTCTACGGCTTCTTTTCCCGATCCTGTGCTACTGCTGTATGACAGCTCCAGTGGATGAAAATGAAACAGAAAATAAAAATGAGTGAACTTCTCGCTAATTCTGGCATCTGTCGGGCTTCATTTTGGAGTCTCCTTTGAGTTTTAGTTTTAGTTTTTTCTACTTCGGCACCGATTTCGAATGCGATGCGCCAGATGCATTTGAATTTCGCGCTGCGCTGCGCTCGAGCAAATTTTAATATTGGCAACGTCCTTGAGGACATCGATTGTTCGCTAGGATTTTCGCTGTGGCCAGCAGTTCCAGTCATTACTCATACGCAGCGTGTGACACAATCGCCACTATGCATTATTCATGGCGATGCGGCTGCGCTGGATAAACTTGTCGCAGAAGCTGACGACAGCTGGCAGGAAAATGTTAAATATTTAAATGCCTTTTACCACCCGAAAGCGACTCCCCATCTCGAAACCATCTCGCTGGGAATTGCCTTTAACTAGGAGCAATTAATTTGAATTTGAACTATTTAGAGGCACCCGCACTCATGGCGAGGAGGCGTTGCAAATGGCAGGGTGGGTATCTGAGTCCCCAGGACCTGCCATCCTGCCGGTAAATTAAGCATAAAGCGCTTTTAGTTACAATCACGTTCGTCTCAATTAAACTACATTAAATTCAATTAGCAGGCAACAGGAACACGAAATGAAAGCAACATTGTCATTACGGTTTCAGGCAAAAGCATCTAAGGTACACTGGAAGAAGTGCTTACGAATAGGATTCATCTTATAAACTATATACAATTTATGGATCGATTTCCTGTTGATCTCTTATGACAAACTTAAGCTATAAACTCTTTCTTAATCGGACTTGTTTGAGGAATTAAACAAACTATATTCGCTCCAATACAAGTACTAACACAGGCCGTTCCATTTACCACAATTTGAAGCTGTTACCGAAATGACCTGAAATACTTTCCGCGCAGTGCAGCAACGATAAGAGCATCGTCTTCTGGCCAGGAAGAAGGACTCAAGACGCAGGACAGCCAAGAAGGTGGAGGCAAAAATCTAGCGATGGCCTGACTGACAATTGACTTTCATTATTTCTTACATTCCTGGCTGCATTATTGAGGCCGGGTGCTGGGATATTTGACAGGACGAAGGAGGTCCTTTGTGGAGCGCAGGCTGTCGCAGGCGCTGCTGCCGTGCCGTGTTAGTTTCCCAGTGTAATTAGGTTTAATATTTAATTTAATTGCATAAGGATACACGCACACAACTACAACGAAACCGGTACCCATAAAAGCACACGCGCAGAGACAATGTTGGCCATTTCGCAACTGCTGCTAACTGAAATTATGATGAAAGCAGCAGCAAAGGCTTTTACAGCGCCAAGTGGGCGCAGTGGAGCCACAAAAGCCGTAAGGTGAAGGTCAGTCTTCCTCGATGGCTTCCTCGAAAGTGGAACGTGCCCGTCTTAGCCGGGACTTAACTGGGTGTCCGGTTATCCAGTCCTTTCGGCCAGTTACTAGTCACTTGGCCTGGCCAAGTTACTTCATTTGGCACTGCTGACCTCCTTGGGGCTGCATTATTATCACTGGAGTTTTCCTGCCGACTTATATTATGTCCTTGCCATGGGATTATGGCGTGTTAGCAGGTAGTTCGTGCCCTCCACCTGCCCTAAAGATATATAGGCGTATATATACGGCGGTGATCTGGCGATGAGGTGGTCATGTAATGAATTGTGTGCCAGGCAGCCTGATGTTTTGTTTGCTGCTCAATTTACTCAGACAGTTAATCACATTGCGTGAAAGCTAATGTCATTAGGAGGACTTCGTGCTCCGCTTACACACCCACATACTTTATGTTCCTCTGCTAGGGCATAACGAATAAATTTGCCATCAAATTCTGCGTCGATGCCTCAAACAACGTGGCTTTAACGGAGTTACCTATTTATCGGACCGCCGAGTGAGAAAATTGTTTGCCCTGAAAATATGCCTTCATTCAGTAATACAGAGTCGTTTTAATGGCTAATAGTTGCGTACATTTGTTCGGCTTTTTAAAGCAAACGAAAGTTTCCCCAAAGTTGCCTTAAAGTAGCCGCACATATGCCAAAGGAAACCCCTGCTACGAACAATTGATCAACTTTCCAGCTATTGTATTCACGTATCGGAGTAGGCCGACACCCTTTCGCTCCACACCCCTTTCATAGCCATAGTTTGGCTATACTGCAACAATAGCCCCCGGATATTGGGCGTATAAAAAGTTACATATGTATGGCGCAAATTTAGTTGCCAATTGGGGGACTGTGTTCGCTTGGCCCCGGGGTCCTCAATTAATTTCATTTAGGGAGTGGTGGAGTGGCGCACAAGGAGGCCCCCGGCTATAGCTAAACACATCCAAACAAAAGAGCCAGACACACACAATATTTTCAATTAAGCTGCTGCAATACCAGCAGAATAATAACAATTACAACATGTACGAGCACAGCTAAAGCGGAATGGTTTAAAGGAAAGAGTTTGAGGTCCTTTCTTGGAAATGGCTTTCCGTGTGCAATCCGTCGTTTCAGGATGAGAGCGCCTCCTTTATTTTAGATATATTTCATTAAAGAATCCCTATTTTATACCAGGAAGTTCCATAAAAAAGGAAACTTTTTGTTAACCAATACTTGCTTTCTAAAACCTGATGTGAAAGAGAGTCATTGCATTTTATTCAAGCTTTACCACTGTAGCTTTTTTCGAAAGATAACATTTTTCAAAAACATCCATTACTGAAACGCCATGCTTCGTTGTAAATTTATTGGCAAGTAGAAGACCGTGTAAAATTTCAAAGTCCTCGGTCCTTTTAACTCTGTTCAACGTCAACCACGAAACAAGCCACAATTGGATGTGGGAAATAGGTGATGGAGGTGTACATATCGTGTGTTCCATGGAGTGAAGACGCTTGTGCTGGAGCAATTACTGAAATACACGACGAGGGAGTGGGCCAAGTTACATGGAGTACTGTAAATGAATTGCTGACAATTAGTTCAATTTGTTGGCACAGTCAGCAGTCAGCTGTGGCAAGCTGGAAAACTTGGAGTGCGGCAATCAAAGCAGCTGCCGCTGATGAGACCCCAAATCCTTGCCCACTGTTGCGGCAATTGGAGTTCTTCTTGTCCTGTTTATGGTTATATCAGAGCAAACTTTTTTATTGCATTAGTTCTGTGTCAATAACAATAAAACATAGCAGTGCAGACCAAGGGACTAGTGGATCATTAGCTTGATTTTATGCGGCACTCAGGTGCTTCAATCAAGGTTGGTTCAGTTATCAGAAACCAAATATAAACATATATCTGCGAGTATTCTATCTCCATCCTTGACTTTCCGACAATTTCATTTTATTTTCTATTCAGCATGCAGCCTTCCAAGTACAAAATTCAAATTGAGTTTGAAGAGCTGTAGTTCAACACTTCCCATCAATTAAATATTTACATCCCTCGAATAGGTCATTAACATTCATTTAGCTAGCAAAACAATGCCATGAATAAACAATTAAACGTTTCGACTGTCCGAGGCAGACAGTGAACTTCTCGGGAAGAACAAAAGCACCACACTTGAGAACTTTACGGAAGTGCTTTTATTCGCTACTTCTGGGAAAAGAATAGATTCGCAGCATCTTGGGTTTCGGAGTGGACAATCAAAGAGTCAACAATTTTCTATAAAAATGCCAACAGCGCGTCGCAAATTGCAATTCAAGCTATGCACGTGTTAATTATTTATGCCCCTACTCCTCACTCCTCAATCCTCAAGAAAAATTCCACGCCCGGTGCGATAAATCAGTTGGCCATAAGAAGCTATCGCCTTGCAAATTCCACCACTTGCGCAGGAAAAGAGTTCCTCGTATAAATTATACAAATTATTATTTAACTCCTAGCTGCACAAACGACTGTGCACTGCGAGAAGTTAGTGCAGAGAAGAAAGCCTAAGTTATATTTAAGGAATATTTCGAATAAATATCTAAGGGCGTATTTAGATACAATTGGAGGGTATCTTTGACTTAATGAAAATGATATAATAATTCACATAATAACATTTAAATATTTGAGTATCTTTTCCCATGTACTTCCTGGCATGTGACTGGCTTCTTGGTCTGGCCGTAGTTATGCACAGACAAATCGCTTATTTAGATTAGAGCTGACAACCGAAGTGGGGAAATCTTCTGCGGAGTCAGAAGAAGCAGCTCCAGAACGCAGGCGCGGATACACAGATTCAGATACTTATATCCGCAACTGGTTGCAAGATCTTCATTGCCCTCAAATTTCAGGTTTGCTTGCTTTGCCGAAGGAGGCGTGCTCATGTTGTTCAACAGGCTAACAAACTGTCTACTTAGGTTAAGCTCAGCTAGGAAGTAATTGTGGGGCGAATCCGCTGGCAACCAGTGATCATTTTCAATTAGAGACCCCATCGTGGGGCGTGATTTAGAAGCTGTTGTGGGTAAGACGGTAGCTTGATTCCGATTATGGGATAAGTGCGGGAGCATCGCTTATAAAGCCAATGCTAACGAACCAATGACTGCAAGCACTTTGCAGATTGTTGTTAGATTAGCGTTCGTAATAAATGAGCCAGCTCCTTGATGGAAGGAGCCGGTGTTGTCTAGACTTGGGATTGCCAAACAGCAAGCTGAAGGTAGAAAACTCTCTACCTGACTCGGCGCATTTGTCATAATAAAATTAGCATTTGCCTGGGTCAACAGGAGACGCAGGACAGCAGGATAGCAGTTCAGATACACAGGATGCAGAAGAAATGGGGTTGGCCGCAACGACAAAACTTATCGCCGTGTTGACAGACCCGCCGACTGGAAAAGGAAGCAAAAGGACAACCTGGAGGTCGTGCCTTAAAGTTAAGACCCTTTTGAAAAACAAGCCACTTTCCGTGAATAGCTTTGAGTGTAGGCAACAACTAGTCAGATCAATTGAAGTGCATCACCATACTATAAAGGGGTATCAAAAAGTCGTCATCAGGGGACACTGTACAGTTTATTATTGCGCCCCTGTAAGTGGGAGGATGCGAAAACGTTTCCTGTCTGGACGATAAGCATTCGAGTTGCCCTTACAAAATATTAACGAAATGACCAATTCAATTGGAACTCCATTAGCCTCACTTTCTATTCCCGCTCGATTCGATTCTCGATTCGCTTTAAACGGCCAAACAAATTGCATTGCATCCCTCAAATTTCGAAAAAACTACAGAATACTTCGACTTGCCAGCGGCGATATTGTGCTGACTAAACGGAAAGAGTCCGGCATGTAAAGCGAAATCAAATCACGTACAGTGTCCGTTCCGTTACTGGCCAATATCTGCTGACCAAATATCACGCAGCTGCAACAAATCAAAGAGCCAAATTCTGGCGCCCGGGCGGACCGACTGCTGGTTCAAGTGCTAAATAAATTGAAAATTCTAAAATTTTAATAAAAATTGTCGCAATATTGCAATAAAATTCGCATGATTGCCAGCCGCCCCTCTTCGATTCATGGAATTTTTGATTTTTAAACCGTCCACTGGTATCACGTGAAATTCTTTTCAACCGTCAACTGCAACACCGTTTTGATAAATATATATATGTGTCGTCTGGTTTTTTTGACTCTGCCACTTTGTGCATTATTTTAGTTGATTTGGGGATTTTGTTGATGATTCATGCAGGAAAAATGCAGGTGGAAATTCATCCTGTTTTCGTGTGATTTGATACCGATACTATTCCAGTTTAGTTGGTACTGGCACTTCCTTCGCTCAGCAAGTTTTTCTGAATATCATCTAATATCTATAACTAACATGGATATTTAATAGGTACATAGATAGTAACTTATGATTTGATAAATTGGCTAAATCGCATTCTAAAAGAATCAATAAATTATGGGTTAAATTATTTCTCTTTAAAAACTCTGTACTTCATATGCAATGATTCGTGCCCATACCCATAAAATAAATTTAATTGCATTTCATGCCGTTTTTAAAGCGAAACTATCAGATTAATTAATAATATTTATGTGCGGTATTGGATGCACACGCCGAAACAAGCGGAAGGCATTGTTTGCCCGTTCGATTTTGACAGATACATAATTAGTTTTTGTACACCATAAGGCCGCAGGTGCCGTTGCTGTTTTCATTTGGCGGATGCACCCGACTATATAGTATATATGGGTATTTTTTTAAGCCACAAAAGCTATCTATGCCGGCGCATTTTATGCGATGGAGCTGCGAATGAATTTGTATAAATGTTTATGGATATTTACCTCGGGCGGCGGCGGCGCCAATGCAAAAGCCGAATAGCAGCAGGCGGCAGAGCCAACTGGATGTGGATGTCCTTGTCGCCATTTTGTCGAGCTGTGAAAATGGCGGCGTCTTTGGCGCCACTGCGTTTCTGCTTTGCCAAAAAAATGTCACAACAGCTGCAAAGAGAGAGTGCCGGAAAGAACGGATATAAGTGTTAAGATATTTGCTTGAAATTCCCTGTCCCAGGGCAAAACAGTTTGATTTCTAAACGCCACTCGGTGAATTTCACGGAAAACATTTACTTTCAATTAGACTTGCTTCTCCTCACCCAGTCCCAAGTTCCCCCACTTCACAGGCAGCGCAATTTTGCGCACCATAAAACTCAAATCAATTTCGCTAATTAGCAAATGTCTCGAGTAATCAGAGAGTGTCTTTTGTAGGAGGTGACTTGTACACTGTGCAACAGAATAATTAAAGAGTAATATAACTAATAATGAGTGCTAGGCGGCAGGGAGAGCTAAGAGTATTTATTAGAAAACATAATTAGTAACAGAAAAATACATATAAAATAAACTACGATGAAAAGTTATTTGTAAATTTTGATAATTCCATTAAAATTTATTATGGATAAGCAATTGCAGAAGGAGGCTTATCCCCAAGGGAATGTAAGTGAAATTTCCTTCGAGAGCCGATAAATTATATTAAGCTTGTGCAGAGTGAGCAGGAAGGTGTATTGCATGAGGAAATGTCCCCATTTTCATTTCCATTCCGCGACAACTTTTTTCACCCCCTAGAAGTCATCTTCACGCCTCGTTCGGTTTCATTTCCACGATTTCCATGCTCACATTCCTCGCTTTTGTCTCCGCCATTTAATAAGTTAATTGTTACTGCTGTTGCACTTTTGTCGCTTTTGAATTTATGATTAGCCACAACCGCCGAGCGCTGCAATCAGAAGCCAAGTATTTAGCGCTGCTCAAGGACTGGACCCCCAAGATGTGCCCACTCACTGCCCATTCGCACCACGTTACTAGCCCACCCATTACACCGCCCATTTTGAGTTGGCCAAGTTCACTTTAAGCCAGCAGTGACAGTGCCACATAAATGTCAACTGCTGCGGTCCTGCTGCGCTTTATGCAGTCCGACTTTTATGCATTTCTAGTGCTTCCCCTCCGATACGATTCATGGCTGCCAAGGACTCCACATAGTCCTGTTTCGCCGTGCCGCAGGACCCCATCCTCCATCCCTCCATCCTCCATCGCTTCTTGACTCGTCCGAGTCATTATTGTCGTCTGCTTTTTTCACTGGTCGCTGTAACTGCTGCCTGACTTTGTGTCAACTCCATAATTATAGTTTCTGCCATTTTCTTATAGTTTTCGTAACAAAAAAAGTTTCAATGAGCAGGGCACAGTGGTCTTAAATTGGTTTAGTTTTTGTTTTCGATTCGCTGCTCAATGAGTAGGTTTATAACCTTGTTACTAAAATCAATATTATTTGTATTTGAATTTCTATTTTAGGCATGAGAAAATATAAATACTAATGGGTCTAAGCTGTAGAGCTTAAAGTTAAGGGATTTTATTTTAGCGATTGATGATAGGAAATCCCTAAAAGGTTAGGCAATTTTGATGTACCAGTGTTAGTAGACACCTGGTATCCCTCGATTTCAGTTGTAGCTCAAGTGCATTGTGCTTTTGTTTAATCTTAATGGGTCTGAAAATTCTTAATCGACACAGAGCCCACGGTCATGGAACTTAAAGTTGCTCTACATGGAGTGTGGCAGCAGCCATACACATAAAACTGCAGAGATTCTATTAACCCAAGAAATTATGAGAAATGAAAACTTATTACGAGAAGTCATTAAAATTCAAAGAATTAAAACTTGAAAAAGTAAAACTGAAAATGAAGCAAAGCCAGAGCCAAAGCCAAAGCCGAAGCGTTGTTGCCACCGATGTTGCTGCTTCTGCATTCCATATATATATTTAATATATATAGTAATATATAAGTTTGTGAATCGGGAAAGTCGGGCAGCCGGACAAAAACTGTCGACGACTTATGACAAAGCGAAGGGGTGGGTGGGGATAAAGAAAAGGCAGTGCCTGCGTCACTGGCAGTGCATTTTCCTCTTTTCAAGTTTCAACTACTTGGGCGGCAAAGGAAAGTCATAATTGTTAATGGGCTTTTGGCTTAAACGAGTTTTTACTGCGAAAATGCCTCCGCACTGCGAGTGTATAATGCCGAATGCTGTTTAAGTTTTAATTAGATTTTTAATATCACCGAATGTGAAATATGGCCGGCGCAGTAAGTTAGATTAAAAAATCGCTCTCTATGATGGATGTTAATTCACTTTTTGTGCGCAATTGCATCGTGATTTTTTACATACAAGTACCACCTATTTATTATCATGTTTTCTGTTGTTTGCTGCTGATTGTGTCCTGTTTTTATGTCTTTTAATGCACGCCTGGTTTAATGAGCCGGCTATTAAGGCGCACCATCATTACGCAATGTCAGTTGCCGCTTTTATCAATGTTTCCTGTCAGTTTCGAGAACTTTGCGCCGCGTCACGACGTCACGAGTGTCAGCGCCAGCGATTTTCATATTCACTCTGCATTTTTATCAGCCATTTGCCAACTCATTAAGCCAACGTCAATGCTCCACCGACCACCTCCCATTATTTTCCCCCCGGGCCGTGGATCTGATTCTCCTTGATGATGGCTTGGCTGCATTTAAAAAACGTCATAGCCGATTGAGTTTTACATGCTTTTAATTGACGTCGTCGTCGTCATGTAATGAAATTTAATTTATACTGCTCGCCATTACTAGTAATTCATACCGATGCCCAGCAGGAAGGTCTCGTATATATTCTTCACTATTAACTTTAAGCCCAAAAATGTGAGAATTCGTCTTGTTTAGCTACAAGCAAAATGGCGTTTAAGTAACACGTTTTAATACGTTTAATATTTAGTTTTACTAAATTTTCCCATAGAGAAACTACACCTCAATTTTACTCCAGCCAAGTGGACGAGAAAATGCAGCCGACGGTTGAGTGCAACACATCTGTAATCGTACCCTTTTATAGACAAACTTGTTTAATATATACATATATTTATATATATTTTATGGATATATTTATATATGTTTTATGTAGAGTGTGCTGTGGAATAATATCAGCCATGGAGCGTGACTGTCAAGAGCCGGACAACTTGAAAATTTAGAATGCACTCGTGTTGTCTATTAACTTGTTATGTGATGTTATTTTAGCTTGTTCACATTTTCATTTTGGAATTTCACTTCAAACTACAAGAATTATACCCATGTATGGTATTAGCTTACAGAATAATAATAAAAATAGTGGTGTGTACTACTTGTTTGGACTTAAATAATAATGAATCGCTTTCTTTAAATGACTGATCGTTATTTTATATAAATATTTATCTAGCAGTCACATATTTCTATAATTTATCCCTTGTGCTGCACAAGAGTTTCGAATAATCTCAATATGCATTAATAAACACTCAGTTTCAGTTGCGAATCCAAATGGTAATGAAGCCAAAACAAGTTTGGCACGATAAAATTAAGGTGAGATTAACTGCCAATTAAGGCTTAAATAATTTAATGGTCAAACATTTTTCTGGCCATTTCGGCCAATTCTGGCTGATGTTAAAGTCGCGTGCCCGCAAAAATATGTACATGTGAAAAAAGGAATGAGTGGAATGCAAATAAAGACGGGGAATAAAATCGGTTGTCACGATTTCAATGAAAATTAAAAATCCCAGCATGCAGTGAAACGACGGCCAAAAGCATTTTAATTAAAGTCGACCAGCGCCACAGCGGTCTAAATTGTTGTTCGCACACCAAAAATATTAATTGACTTTTCCGCTGGCCGTCGCGACAACGCGGCCCAAAACATCATTAACGCAAATATAATTACGTGACAATTCGATGCTTTTGCCGGTCACAAATCGCAAATCAAAAAGCGAAATTAATTATAGCCATCGCAGCCCGCGAATCCGAGGCGCGCTGAGCCTCCCAAGGGATCAATCAGTGCAAAGTCGCGAAGGTAAACAATGGAGCTCCGGTCTCGGCATTCATGCAAACATGGCTCGCTCCACGATTCCCAGTGTCCAGTCAGGCGAGGTCCTTTGGCGGTGGGAGAAAGGAAAGGGTCGCCGACGCTGTTTAACTTTGAAAAATTAAAATCCACTTGGGTACCCAGCCCGAAACCCCTCAGAAAAGCCAACAGAGAAAAAATGCCACTCCGCGGATAGTCCCGCATTTTTCAATGGCCAAATAATAAAGTCCCAAATGTCAGTTGGGAGTTATAATCTGTTTGCCGCTTTTTCATGGTCGCCATTTGACTGCCGGCAGCAAAAAAGGGGTATATTCCGTATCTGAAGAGGCTGGCAGAGCTCATAAAGATGTCAACTTCGGTGGGATTATCTGTTTAATTGATACTAATAAATCGGGTGTTCCAATATATAGTTTGTATATACTAGGAAAATAGTTGAGCTGGCCACTTGCAAAAATATAAATCAATGTTTTCATAAAATGGCTTATATGTGGCGAGCGCTAAAAATTTATGAAATATAATTGGACTGCTGCTGTATATTCGGATTTATATGCCTAAAGTATATATAAAAGCAGCTAAAAAATATTTGTTTAAATCATACACTTATTAAAAATATTTTTAATTACCAAATAAATAAAATGAATGAAGTTATAGGGTATTTCCATGGTCGACCACCTCACCTTGCTGTTCGTTCGGTCTGCTTTCGACCCCCTGACAATGTCGATTAAATGAAACGTAAATTTGCAGCAATTACGAGGGTAAATATGCATTAAAATAAATTTGCATGCAATTATTTTTTGGCACATCAGAGTCTGATGAATTCATCGAATTATCTTGCTGCAGATTTATCATTGTTATTCGTGTTTTGATTTCTACGTTCACCATAGACCCTAATTACCAGTCAAAACAATGGCAAATTAGATGCAAAACTTTGATGTTGTTTGCTGTACTTGGTCCCCTTCAATAAACCGATTTGTTATTCGCTTCGGCGAATTGTTAGGTGTTAGGTGTTAATTCTAGAACACAACATTCTTTCGGTGACATCTCGTTTATCAACTTGAAGACAAAATCTTCGAATTTGGTTTTGTCTGCATATCGGTGGCATTGTGTTGG